GTCTACTTTATTTCTTTGAAGATTTGACAAACCTGGATAGTAGATCAATATATCAGACTCATGGGCTTGTTATTGTTTATGTCGGTCAAGCTTGCTCAGAAGCAAAAATATCTCAAAATCAAAGTGACGTCACATTTATAGGACTAATATGTAAAATAAAATGGAATTTTCAGTTTCTCCCTAACAGTTTTACATATTCAACTACATTTGACATAAAGATATGTCAAAGGAATGTGCAGGTCAAGTTGGAATTTGGCCATGGTTCGGTGATTTTTGGCAGAGTAATGTTCCTTTCACTTTGAAAATAATATGAAATTTTCAGTTTCCATTCACTATCTCCTTTATGGTGTTACACATTCATTTCAAATTTGACATATGGGTACATCAAAGAAATACGCAGGTCAAGTTAAAATTGTGTCATGGTTCGACGATTTTTTGCCGAGATATGCCACTTTAACTTTGAAAAAAAAGGAAATTTTTCAGTTCACATTCATTATTTCCACAACAGTTGTACATATTCAACTCAGATTAAAGATATGGATATGTCATAAGAATATGTTGGTCAATTTCCAATTTGGTCATGTTTTGATGATAGCTGACAGAGTTATTCCTCTTAAACCTTGAAAAAAATCAGAAATTTTAAGTTTCCGTTCATTATCTCCCCAATGGTGTAACACATTCAACTCAAATTTGACAGATACATCTTAGGAAAAGCAGTTCATGTTTGAATTTGGTCGTGGTTCAATCATTTCGGACAAAGTTGTCTCCCTTGAATGTTGTAAAAATTTTGAATTTTCTGTTTCAGCACTCATACTTTTCTGGAAATGTATGTAGCCATTGATTTGGCTAGAAATATGCAATATGCAATTTACAAAAGGTTAACACTGAATAGTTTCAGTGCCTTGAACTTTGTATAAAAATGGTTTGTGTTAACATTGAATAGTTTTAAGGGCTTTGAACTTAAAATGAAAAAAATAATTTGTGAAAATAAATTTGGAACTAAATGTTATGACATCTGAATTTTTTTGGTTGCATGCCGGGGCATCCGTGGCATGATGACACATTTCTAGTTGCCTGGATACCCTACCTCCAGATCTTCACTAATTTTTTCACAATTATCGCAATTTTTAATATGAATATTACAAATGATCATAATTAGCCCTAATTAATTTAGTTTGCTACAAAGAAATAGGCGATAAAGTCAGAGCAATCCAATAGCTTAGGACCTATCTATTTATAGGGAGTACTCAGCGGAGGTTATTCACTAATGTCCCTCATTGATAGATGATCACCAAACTTTGTCTGTAGCATTCTTGGGTAGTCTTTTATCAAGTTTGCTAATATTATTTTGATTGGCCCCTCTTAGTGGTCTCTTGGGCAAAAAAATAGAAAAACCTTAAAACATTTTCTCCTACAGAACTAATTGATGGATGATTACCAAACTTTGTCAGTAGCATTGTTGGGTAGTATTTTATCAAGTTTGCTCATATTAATTTGATTGGCCCCTTTTAGGGGCCGCAAAAGCTAAACATAGAAATACTTTTAAATGTCTATTTCTAGAGAACTAATGGATGGATGATCATGTAGCATTCATGGGTAGTCGTTCATCAAATTTGCCAATATTATTTTGATTGGTCCCATTTAGGGGCTGCAAAAGCTAAAAAAAGAAATACCCGTAAATGTCTATTTCCACAGAACTAATTGATTGATGATCACCAAACTTTGTCTGTAGCATTCTTGGGTAGTCTTTTATCAAGTTTGCTCATACTAATATTATTAGCCCCTTTTAGGGGTCTCTACAGCTAAAAATAGAAATACTGTTAAATGTCTATTTCTAGAGAACTAATTGATGGATGATCACCAAACTTTGTCTGTAGCATTCTTGGGTAATCTTTTATCAAGTTTGCTCATATGAATTTTATTGGCCCCTTTGATGGGGCTGCTAAAGCTAAAAATAGAAATACTTTAAAATGTCTATTTCTACAGAACTAATGGATGGATGATCACCAAACTTTGTCTGTAGCATTGTTGGGTAGTCTTTTATCAAGTTTGCTCATATTAATTTGATAAGCCCCTTTTAAAAAAGAAATACGTTTAAACATTTTTTACTTCAGAACAAATGGATGGATGATCACCAAATTTTGTCTGTAGCCTTCTTGGGTACTCTTTTATCAAGTTTGCTTATATAAATTTGATTAGCCCATTTTAGGGGCCACTAAAGCTAAAAATACAAAAAAAGCCTTCAAACATCATTTCCTACTGAAATAATTGATAGATGACCACCAAATTTTGTAGCATTCAAGTTTGCTCATATTAATTTGATTAGCCCCGTTTAAGCTAAATCTTAAATGCCCCAGGTCATGGCATTTCTTAAATTATTGTTTAAACATATTCTATGCTCAAATTTAATATTAGAATATATTGACATTCAAACACTGAAAAGCAGTTGTTTCTGGTGAGCGACTCATGGCCCTCTTGTTAGAACTTTTCATCGCCTTGAATCACTACCGAGGTATATCCTTGATTGAATTAAATCACGGTTTCTTTCCACTTGTCGCCTTTTCCGTTTCGAATCTGAAAATTTCATTCTCGTATATACCTTTCACAACTTTCGTATTCTCCGCCATTATTTTGGTTTGATAATAATTCACATATCAATCACGTGACTCCGATCCGAACATTTACGGAAATAATCGAAGGGCATCCCGCCAAAATATAAATCTTATTTGACTAACCCAGTCAAATCAGAAAAAAACATTTTTAGAATGGTCAGAAATGTTACGGTGAGCGTTTCTAAATTGGAAAACTTTGTCATAATGCATTTGATAACAATAAGGTGTTAATTTGACAATTTGTTTTTATGAATTTGACAAGGAATAAAATTTTAAGGGATCAACTTTATACTTCAAAAATATGTACCTTATTATTAACTACATGTTAAGTGACAAGGTTCATAATTCTAGTACCAATATTGCAAGAATTATCTCCCCATCATTGTAACTTAGATTTTTTAACAAGAAAACTGTTTTTTTTTCTATAACTTGTTTTGTTTTAAAGGTATATACCTCAAACTTCAAATACTTATTCCTTATCATCAATTACATTTTATGTGACAATGTTCATAAATCTTGAAGCAATATTTACAGATTTACCTTTCTTTGATCTTAGGATTTTCTTTAAGAAATATAAATTATTTACTTTTTAAGGTATCTACTCCAAACTTCAAATATATATTTCTTATCATTACAAACATGTTGTATGACAAGGTTCATGATACATAATTGATTTTTCTTTCATAGTTTTGTCTCCATTACTGCATCCTTTATTTTATAAGTCGAGGTTCACTGTCTCCTGTGACAGCTCTTGTTGACTCAATTGTCATGAAACTTTATCAGGATGCTTGTCTAGGTAATAACTCCGATGACTTTGAACATGAGTCATCTTGGATGAAAAACTAGGTCACAGGAGCAAAATATAAAACATCTTGTTAACATTTAAGTGGCTACTGTTTTGATCCAAATATCCTGGAAATTGATCTGAAAGTCTGTTTCGATGATTTCTAGGACAAGTACAAATATAGGACACCTGGGGTCAAAAACTAGGTCACAACGACCAAATATGGAAAAACCTTTTTAAAACTGGTGGTCACATTTTTTACTCAATTGTCATTAAACTTGGTCAAGAAGCTGTTCTATGTAACTTTTAGGATAAGTTCGAACATGGGTCATCTTGGATAAAAACTAGGTCACAGGAGCTAAAAATAGAAAAATCTTGTTAACACTCTAGTGGCAACTGTTTTGATCCAAATATCCTGGAAATTGGTCTGGCAGAGTTTCTAATCAAGTTCGAATATTGGTCACCTTGGGTCAAAAATTAGGTGACACTGCTCAAATATGGAAAATGCTTGTTTACACTCTAGTGGTCACATTTTTAACTCAATTGTCATCAAATTTGGTCAGGATGCTTGTCTAAGTAATTGCTTGAATGAGTTCAAACATGGGTCATCTCGGATGAAAACCTTGGTCACAGGAGCTAAAAATAGAAAAATCTTGTTGACACTCTAGTGGCTACTGTTTTTATCAAGATATCATGGAAATTGGTCTGAAAGTTTTTTTGATGATTTCTAGGTCAAGTTCGAATATGGGTCACCTGGGGTCAAAAACTAGGTGACGCTGCTCAAATATGGAAAATCCTTCTTAACACTCTAGTGGTCACATTTTCGACTCACTGTAATGAAACTTGAACAAAATGCTTGTATAGGTTATTGTTCGGATGAGTTTGATGCGTCAGATGAGCCATCTAGGGCCATCTTGGCCCTCTTGTTTAAAGTATTTTTAAAGATACATACTTTAAAAGTTTGGTTACATTTGTCATTTTTTCATGAAAAGAATTCAAAAAAGGCGATCATAAGTGATAGCGATAAAAATAAATTTTGGCTTTTGAAATTGACAAAAATCTTCATTATTATATCAGCAACGTATATTTCTGCAAAATATATTACAATAACTGTTTTCATTATAATGCCCCCTTCAAAGAAGTGGGGGTATATTGCTTTGCATTTGTATGTACGTCTGTCGGTATACCAAAAAGTTTCCGATCAATAGCTAAATTCATTTTGAGCCTAGGAACTTAAAACTTTGTATATGTATTGTTCATTACAAGAAGATTTTGGGATATGTAGGTCAAAGGTCCAGGTAAAATTACCTTGAATGTCAAAATGGTTTCCAATAAATAACTCATTAACTCATGGGACTTTGACCTTCAAACTTCACAGGTGCATTGGTCTTGACCTGCAAATAACCTCTATTAAAGTTGGGGTCAAAGGTCAAGGTCATACTGAATACAACCACTCTTACAAGCAGGGTTGTTGTAAAAGATACTCAACCGTGGTAAACATAATTTAGATATATTTGTAGAAAAAAAACTAGTATTTTCTAAATAAAATATGTATCCTTATTCTGTGTGTGACTTGAAGTATCTTTTGATATCTGATATTTCAGAGAGAAGTATAGGTGAAACATGTACAGATACATCTCAGTGTTCAACACTAAACTCCCAGTGTATATGGAGTGGCACAAAGACATGTACTTGTAAGCCTGGATATTTGACAGTCGGCAATTATTGTCTGAGTATGTTGTTTCGTAAATAGTTTTTATGCCCCTGCCATATAAAGGCTGGGGCATATAGTGTTACCCTGTTCCGGCATTCCTTCATTCTGTCATTCCGTCATCATCAGTTTCGGTTCATATTCTTAGTAACGGTTGCACACATTCCACACAAATATGGCATATGGACATGTCATGAGAAAATACAGGTCAAGTTCGAATTTGGTCATGGTTTGATGATTTTTGGCAGAGTTATGCCCCTTTTACTCTGAAAATGATATGACATTTTCAGTTTCCATTCTTTATCTCTCCAACGGTAAAACACATTCAACTCAAACTTGAATATGGACATGTCATGAGAAAATACAGGTCAAGTTTAAATGACTTTTAAAGTCATCATATAAGACACAACATCTACACACATGCAATAAATACACTTTAATTATGACAAATCTAACTAGAGATGACTTAAATTTACCACTTCAAAATTTTAAAGAACTGCTTTTCTAGAATACAACGTGTTCGGTCTTATTCCGTACCAGGTTGAGACCTAAATTGAGGGAAGCAGACCAAAACTGATTTTGAGTCTATCCCCCTGAGCTTTCCAAAGAACAAAAAATTGTTATTACATCATAAAACATAGTACAAAATATCGCCTGGCTACATTATCTCGCCACCCAACTAACTTTGCTCCGTCAAACTTTATACTTAACATACAAACATTTGAATGAACACTGAACAATTAGACAAGTTATAAACAATTTAAAATCACCACTAAGTAATTTATATATAAACATATGGATACGGTGGACTGGATCGAAAACAATCAATGATTCAAAGTATATAGAACACAATTTAAAATACATAATTTGTTTTTTTATGCAATCAACACAATTGAATCAAATGTTATGCTCTTTTTATGTATTGATATTTTAAATAATTTGAAGGAAATCTTCATATATGTTCATAAGTTCTCATATAGATCAATTTTCTCTGATATAATGTCAACACAAACTCCCATTTATTTCCGTTTTATTTTAGTTCTTTTAGTCTTGTAAACACTTTATTTTCTGATTGTTTAATTTTAGTTATAAAAGAATTATTTCCTTTTCATTTAGATTTTTTTGTTTAAAGCTTAACACACAATTTTTTCAAATTTTCAACACTGTGTCCTTTCACTGTCATCTTTGTCACTGTAATCAATTAAATCACGTATCATATCATTTTCCAATCACATATTGCATAAACTTATCTTGCATAAACTTTGTCATGTCTACAACAATTCTATTCACACGAAAATTTATGATAAAAGAGATGACTTTGACTTTTGTATAGTTAATAATCCACATTTGGATGGAGACGTACCCCATGCAACATCCTACGGGGTTTATGTTTCTCAGTTAATTAGATTCGCTAGAGCTTGTAACAACTTAAAAGGATTTCAACGAGCGGAATATTTTTATTACCAGCAAGCTTCTAAACCAGGGCTACCGCTATCATAAATTACGGAAATATTTTACTAAATTTTACAATCGTAACTTTGATTTAATTTCTAAATTCAATAGTGATTTAAAAACTCTTCTGCGACAAGGGATTAGCCAGCCTGGTTTTTATGGCGATGTGGGTCATGGTAATTTTTCTGCTGTTTTTACTAAAATCATTAAACGTTTTATTAAAAGAGGTTATGACCCTACTATTTTAAGACACACTGCATGTTTAGTGTTCAACCCTTTTACAGTTGGACACTACACTTTCCTCTTTTGATTGCATCTGACGGACCAAGTGGGAGACTCTATGATGGATAGTTCGTAAAGCCCTTTGGGACTGAATTGTCTTAATGTTCGTCTTCTGCCTTGCTTCGTCGGGCCCTTGTAGGTGATTTTCTTGTTGCTCTGTCTTCCTTTAGGACATTGAATACTTTTGTTATGGTCAATGGGTTTACTTTTATATGTTTCTACATGATCATTTTAGTGTTTTACTTATTTAACCTTTTGTAACCATGACAACTGTTAGAATTTCACTTGGCGGGGATTCATTTTATTTACACTGTCTCGTTTATAGGAACATGGTGGGGCTAAGAGCGAGGTTTGGTGCACCATTAACCGGTTTAAACTCCCCAGCAGTCATTATTATGCTGCTGACCGTTCCAAGGCGGCGCCCCACTGTGTTCCTCAGATGTATGTCTATGTTGTTTCATACTGTTTTGGTGACACTTTTGCTTGTGTCCCTTGTTGTTTTCTCGTCTACGGTAAGTATCTTCCCCATTGCCTCTAGTTTTTATTTCTTTGATTAACCCCCCCCCTTCCCCCGGTCTTCTGTCCCCTTCCCCTTTGTGGGCCTATTATTATTTTCTTTGAATTCCTAATCAGTTACAAATTATTTATCATTTAATGATTAACGTGTCGTTGCCCTGTCCTTTTTATGTTTGGGGTCCGCCTGGGCTCCTTGCCGTTGGTTCTTGTTGCTGGGTCATATAGGGGTTGCGTTCATTGAACGCCGCCTTTCCTTGTTGATCTTGTTTTTCATATCTTATGATGAATCAACCATATTTTTCATTCATGTCATCGCAATAAACCTAATTCAGTTAAACACCTGTAACTTTAAATATACAAACTTTTGTATTTACCCACAAAGCATGTTTTAAACTTAATTTCTGACTGTAAAGCTTGAAAATTTTGAAACTTTTCTGGTGTAAATCAATAGAAAATAGAATTATCTCCTCTACTGTATACTTCATGTACTTGTATTTTGGGCCAGAGGCCTTAGAACACAAATAAAGTTTTTTGAAATTCATAACACTTTTATTCTCAGATTGTCATTCTTACATCAACATACTGTAACTATATGATCAAATGACACTAAATAATGTGAACATGATATCATAAATATTATTATCCGTGATTTGTATCATTTGGCAGGAGATATCAATTCTAATATTTTGATTGTTTTATTCAAATCTAGAACATAATCATTATGTTTTATATTTTATTAATCAGAGAGGTACCTTGGTGAAAGTTGCAGTGAAACCACTCACTGCTCAGTAGTAGACAATAGCCAATGTAGTAGTGGTTTCTGTGAATGTAAGTCTGATTACTACAAAACAGCAAATGGTCAATCAGGCAGATGTGAAAGTAAGTCAAATAATTTATGATTGATTTATTACAAAGATTAGTGCATAAAATGATACATAGGTGAAATGTATAGTTATATTATCATTATACAACATAGTAAAGATTCTGTTAAAGAGGCAGTTAAATTTTAAAACAGGAGAATTATGATACCGTAATTGTTTTATGCTTATTTTCATGCCTATTACCAATAAAATGTATCAAGGATTGAGTTATGGCTGATGAGTTAGTGGAAAGAATATCTGTAATATTATATCAGTTATGATAATTTTTCTCTATGTATGATCAATTACTAAAAGCACATGTTTCCTTTGACAACTGTGTCATGGAATCAATCCTTTGGAGTATTTGTCAGTAGAGCATTGAGTTTATTTGTTTTGGAAGTTAAAGATCTTGAGTTTCATTCCCATGCAATGTGTGATTAGAAGTAAAAATAAAAAAGGTGTCAACTTTTTAACCCTTTCCTCCATAAGCCTATTGTGAAAAGTGGCTGTTTTCATTGAAAATACTCCTGTTACAAGTTCAAACTGCTATGAAACTATGAAAAATGATTCAATACTGATGAAACAAATGTTGACTGGAACATAGCATGCTCAATCTTAAATTTCCTGTAACATTGGCAAAAGGGGGACGTCTCAAAATTGCCAAAATCACTATTTTGCATTGTTTTTTTCCATCAAAACTGATTTAAAAGTGCTGCAACTTCTCAATGGATTGAGATAGAGTAAAAGGCTTTTCAGCGTCGGTTACACGTTATATGACGATCGACCTGAGGCCATTTTTAGTATGTCACATGTCGAAAATTTTCTTTAAACCCCCCAAAACAGAAGGGGGCACATCCCCGTTCTGACAACCCCCTATCATGTACGTTTTTGGTGGGGGTGGCCTCGAAAAAGTGGTCATTTTTTTATCAACATTTCTCAAACGAAGATCAGTGTTTGGGGTCTTAATAGGGCATTTATCACTTTTTGAGGACTCAAAAAGGGGGGGGTCGAAAAGCTGTCAAAACACGTGTATATGAGGTAAAGTCTTAACACTTAGTTATTGATTTATGATTTTATACTACTAGCATATATTAAAACCGCTTCATATGGTTTTACAGTCTTTGCTTATTCTCAGAGAGACATTTAGATGAGAGTTGTACTGCTGATTCTCAGTGTACAGATGGTAACAGTGAATGTAGGAACAATAAATGTTTATGTAAGAGTGGATACTATCAGATGGGAACCGGATCAACAGGCACTTGTACTGGTATGTTAAATGTATCTAATCTGAGCTGTTCACTAGGATTAAATTATGCTTTGCAATGCAATTGTATTATATGTTATATCATAACTGCAATGAATTTCCTTTTGGATTTACATTTACATGATTAAATAGATTAACTTGTAAGTACTTTATCTTTTAATTTTTGGGGTTTGTAAATCAGTTAATTCTGAATAAATTGTTTTATAGTTGATAATCTTTTATTACTTTAATATGTTTGAGTATATTCTTTTTAGCTATACTTATTTCTTTATTATATGTTGTTGAATGTAAATGCAAAATTATCTAGAAAGATAACAATTCAAGATTTATACTGAGAGTTTTCTTTAATCTTAAAATTGTGTGATTTTTACAATGATTTCTGTCCATGTATTTTTATAATAGTGCTGAAATTAATCTGTAAAAAGCATATTTGTTTCTAGTTTTTAATAGCAAAAAGAAAATTCCTGTCAGATCATTATTTTTGTCACCTGAATTGTTATTGCAGTAAAATCTTTAGTGTATATAGAAAAAATATGCATCAACTACATTTTATAGACTTTTTTGCATTTTTTAAAAAAATATTTCAAGATCATTCAAATACAGTTTGTTGTTTGATGTTTAGCATATTGATAAATGAAATGTTATGATAAGTGTATTGTTTTCTTTTCAGAGAGACATTTAGATCAGAGTTGTAATGCTAGTCCTCAATGTCAAGAAGATAATAGTGAATGCAGTAATAAAATATGTTCATGTAAATATGGTTACTATCAGACTGGGACTGGATCAGACGGCACTTGTACAAGTATGTATTTGTATGATATTATGATTTCAGATGATACAATTCTTTGAGCATGTGACATATGATATCACCTCAATGAAATTTCACTGTATATACATGTATTTATAATCAAATGAGTCACATGAATGGTTAAATTCTGTGTTCCACAATATTTGATGACATATACTGTCTTCAATTAAAACATCAACTCAGACGTCAAATAGTCCTGTGTGCTGGTGTATAGAAAATCTTTAATCCTTTCAGCTAAAAATGAGGTCCTGCATAAGCAACTTACAACTTAATGTGTCTCATTCCATAGCGGGGTGACAACAGTGCCATTTTTTTGTTAGAAACAACAGTTATTTTGTTACTTGTTTTTGTTGTTTTTCATATAATAAACATGAAATGTAATCTCATAAATTGATCCTTTTTTAAGCTTGACTTTTTTTAGAAGAAAAAAATTGAGGTATTGTTACAGTCATTGCAGCGTTTTCTTGTTCACTCCGCAAATCCTTGATCCTATTTTTTACTGTCACTTTTGCTTATTTTTCTTAACTTTTTCATTTTCGGAAATGATTCATGCTTGGAAAAAACAATGAGTGTGACTAGACAGACATATTATTATCAAAAAGGAAAAACTATTTTTTCTTTAAAAGATTTGTTAAAATTGTTTTATTTGTTTGCTTTTAGAAAAATTTTAAAAGTCAAGCTGTGCCTCAGCCCTGTGGGTGGCTCTTGTTATTCATAAGGCATCAAAATAAAAAAAAATCATAGATTGTACAAACTTGCATATACAGATCAGAAATTGATTTTGTATTATGGTTAAAGATTTTGGTAAGATAATGAAGAATGTACTGGACAGGAACCAGTTTCCGGACAGAATTCAAGTTTTTTTAATTGTCAATTTTTAGCTCGACTATTCGATAAGAATAAGTAGAGCTATTGTAGTCACCCGAGCGTCGGCGTCGGCGTCTGTGTCGGCGTAACCACTTATGTTAAAGTTTTTGTAATAGTTCAAATATTTTCAAAGTCCATTGACATATGGCTTTGAAACTTAGTACACTTGTTCACCATCATGACCCCAACCTGTAGACAGGAGGAGATAACTGTATCAAGCATTTTGACAGAATTATGCCCCTTTTTCGACTTAGAATTTACGTTAAAGTTTTTGTAGTACCTCAAATATTTTCAAAGTCCATTGATATATGGCTTTGAAACTTTGAACACTTGTTCACCATCATGACCCCAACCTGTAGACAGGAGGAGGTAACTCTATCAAGCACTTTGACAGAATTATGCCCCTTTTTCGACTTAGAATTTACGTTAAAGTTTTTGTAATAGTTCAAATATTTTCAAAGTCCATAAAGATTTGGCTTTGAAACTTTGCACACTTGTTCACCATCATGACCCGAACATGCAGACAGGAGGAGGTAACTGTATCAAGCATTTTGACAGAATTATGTCCCTTTTTCGACTTAGAATTTGCGTTAAAATTTTGGTAAAAGTTCAAATATTTTCAAAGTCCATGGACATATGGCTTTGAAACTTTGCACACTTGTTCACATTCATCACCCCAAACTGGAAGAGGTAACTGTATCAAGCATTTTGTTTATACTATCAAGCACTAAGAATAGTCAAGCGTTGCTGTCCTACCAACAGCTCTTGTTTAATAATAGACATACATTAATAAAACTAACATACAAAAAACCTGAGCTCTAACTACATCTGAAAACACAATTAATACTACCTGGTGACGTAAGCAGTGTACAAACTGAAGGGTTAAATTAGGTCATTAAAAGTGTAAATTGTTCAATCTTTTTTGTTACGGATTAAGATCTGGGGAATTACACCCAATGAAGTACATTGTGCATTAATTGGTACCCCAAATTATATCCAAAAAAAATATGGCATGCGCAGAACAATTGAATAACATTGCCCGAAAGGGATGTAAGGCTGTTTTTATAACACAGGTAAGATATCCTCACGAAAATTTAATGATGTATCAACTTGGAAGGAAGTTTATTTTCACAAACAATCAAACCACCCATCCTCATGACATATAATACCGATCGTCATTGATAAAGCCAAAATCAAGCTGTTATAATACTTGTCCGAAAACTGGTCTTGTCCAGAAACTGGTTCCTGCCCAGTACTTTTTAAAATTCAAGCTACAAATATGCATTGTTGCATGTCCATGTGTATATGTCTGAATTATACATATATATTCATTAAATGGAAATATTTGTAAATATATACGGTATATTCATCAATTTAAAACAGGACAATCATTAGGAGATGCATGTACAGATTCCAGTCAGTGTTCAACTAGCAATGCAGAATGTCGTAGTAGTGGTACTAGAATCTGTCAGTGTAGTAATGGATATTATGATACAAATGGTGCAGCATCTGGTGGATCTTGTACATCAAGTATGTTTCAACATTTATATTACTAATGTTATATTGTTATATAGTCTATACACTTACTTTTTAGATTGATGGAGTGTGAAATTAAGATGAAAACTTGTGTTTTTCTTTATTTTTTACACTTTTTAAGACATGTCTCATGTAAAATAAGATTTTAAGCTTATTTTAGCAATTGTTGAATTACATGATTAGCACTGTTTTAAATTCATTTATTAATTTTTTTAGCTCGACTATTCGAAGAATATGGAAAGCTATTGCAGTCACCCCGACGTCTGTGTCTGCATCGGCATCGGCAACGGCATCTGCGTTGGTTAAAGTTTTTTGTAAAGTCAAATATCTCAATTATTGCTTGAGATATTCAATTGAAACTTAAGATATTCAATTGAAACTTACAATACTTATTTATAGTAACAATGTACATCAGATTGACAAGTTGGATAAATCTGTCTATTATAATATTTACAGAATTATGCTCCTTTTAAAATTAGGTCAAAAGGGCCTTGACTTCAAAAAGCTTGTCCGCCCAATAACTTAAGATTCCTTTGACCTACAGTCTTTATATTTAGCGTAGAGGTTAGTCATGATGAGTAGATGACCCCTATTGATTTTGAGGTCACCAGGTCAAAGGTCAAGATCACATGGGCCTTGACTTCAAAAAGCTTTTCCGCCCAATAACTTAAGATTCATTTGACCCACAGTCTTCATATTTAGCTCGGAGGTTAGTCATGATGTGTAAATGACCCCTATTGATTTTGAAATCACCAGGTCAAATGTCAAGGTCACAGGGGCCTTGACTTCAAAAAGCTTGTCCACCCAATAACTTACGATTCCTTTGACCCACAGTCTTCATATTTGGCATGGAAGTTTGTAATGATGAGTAGATGATCCCTTTTGATTTTGAGGTCAGCAGGTCAAAGGTCAAAGTCACAGGGGCCTTGACTTCAAAATGCTTGTCCGCCCAATAACTTAAGATTCCTTTGACCCACAGTCTTCATATTTGGCGTGGAGGTTAGTCATGATGAGTAGATGAACCCTATTGATTTTGAGGTCACCAGGTCAAAGGTCAAGGTCACAAGTGGAGGTTAGTCATGATGAGTAAATGATCCCTTTTGATTTTGAGGTCATCAGGTCAAAGGTCAAAGTCACAGGGGCCTTGACTTCAAAATGCTTGTCCGCCCAATAACTTGAGATTCCTTTGACCCACAGTCTTCATATTTGGCATGGAGGTAAGTCATGATGAGAAGATGACCTCTATTGACTTTGAGGACACTCAGTCAAAGGTCAAGGTCACAGGGGCCTTGACTAAAAAAGCTTGTCCGCCTAATGACTTAAGATTCCATTGACCAACAGTCTTCATATTTGGCATGGAGGTTAGTTATGATTAGTAGGTGACCCGTATTGATTTTGAGGTCACTGGGTTAAAGGTCAATGTCACATGGACTTTGACTTCAAAAAGTTTGTCTGCCCATGGAATGAAACTTAACATACATTTTTACTGTGATTTTTTAACATGATTGGCACAGGTCTCACAACTCTGATTTACTTATTTACATATTCATGCCCCTTTTTATACTCAATAAAACATCCCTGTGACAACTCTATCGAATAGACGAGCATTGCTGTCCTCTTACAGCTCTTGTTATTTATAAAATAAATTATATTTGTAATCACATAGCTCTTGACTTAATGTTTGCTCTCATAAGTTTTAATCTTTGTTTTCTAGTAAGCAAGTTTTCTTCTTTTCTTTTTAAAAAAGTCTGCAGATTTATACAGTTATTGTATAAGTACCTAATCTCACACCCAACCTATTCTCAAACCTTTCATTCATGTGCTGTTATTTTTTTTACTAGAAGTGACTATGATGTCCTGAACGTGTGTGCATAAAAGCTTAGTTTCTGACAAACATGTCTGCTGATGTCAAATGAAAACAGTGCATAAGAACAAATATTTACATTACATATTTTATAACTTAGCGTAATTTCATACAAATTGCTATTACCTTTGTAAGTCCCGTAAATTCACCATTAACTATATGTGAAATTGAATATTATAGACAAAATATCTTAAAGCAGGAAACTGCATCGTGTATGGTAATTCATTGTCATGACACAGTCATAACAATCACTTCATTGGCTAAACTAAACAGTCGAATTTTAGAGATACTCGAAGGGGTTTGATATAAGGTTCTTTATTTTAAGAGGCCATGTTAGTTTTAAAAAGAGGGTTGTGCTTTTCCAAGATGGAAATAGAGCTTTTTAATTGTTGAATTTCAGTCAAGTTTTACAGAAATGTTACATAAAAATTAAAGTGTACATACGAGGGTTGTCCCAATATTCTGTGACAAGATTGATTAAAAGCTAAATAAAACAGATACGAATTTGATATTTTAATATGTTATGAACCCATATAATTTAAATATTTTCACAAACTTTCATAGATAAATATCAACAAACAACAAAAATATGCCATAAACACCATGGCAACTAACTGAATCGCGGCGCACGTCCAACGTCAAAGACGGCGTTAAATCTATATAAGGCGCCTTTCTCAAATACTCTCAATGGCTTTCAACGCAATAATGGTACCCATAAATCGTCAATTTCGTCGACTTAAATCATGTGGTTGTTAATGTCTGTTGAATGTTTGCATGGCACACATTATTTTTTGCTATACGCGAACTTCCTGTCTCGTTACTCCTGTTTTTAGCTGTAGGAAATATATAGGCGACGAAGATCGGTCTTCCTATCCGTGTTTTCCTTATTTTCGCTTTTTGTAGCGCAAAACTTTGGTTCCGTTCTTGTCTTTTGTACACAAATGCTCAGAATATGTTGCTAAACTGTTATATTTGATATATTTGTTGAAAATCGTTACAAGTGTCATCTCGAAATAGTCATGAAACCTGAGTGACATGTTCACTGCGCCGCAAATTCTTCGAACGTCGCCATTTTAACTTTCCTATTTTCTATGAGATATTTTCATTTATTCGTATCTTTTTCGTTTTTGAAGTTATTTAACTAAAATTTTCAGAGATGATTTAAACATAGCAGCACAGGAAGTCAACGTGATATTGTACAGACACATCATCAGATATTTGAAATATACGTAATTAATTTCAGCCTATTCATAACAAAATGTAAATTATTTGACGTGAGCCGGCAACTCAAACCGATGTCGTTAATACTGAAAATTTCTAAGTAACTAGGGTAAATTTTTTGTAAATGATTTGTTGTAATGTTAAATAATAAACTTAACGGTTATATGTGTGAATTATTTTCTTTTGGCGTTAAATATTTGGCATGAAACATTTTCTAGTGCGTGTCTACCAAGTTTGTTCAAATAAAAGCCCTGGGGTTAAAATTGGCCCCGCCCCAGGGGGTCATTGATTTTTCCTATATTCATATAGTAAAAACTTAAAAATCTTCTTTGAAAAAACCCAAATAGCTAGAGTTTAGATATTAAGCATGAAACATCTTCTAGTGAGTGTCTACAAAGTTTGTTCAAATAAAAGCCCTGGGGTCAAAATTGGCCCCGCCCCGGGGGTCATTGTTTTTTCATTGATTTTCCCTATATTCATATAGTAAAAACTTAAAAATCTTCTTTTAAAGAACACAAAGAGCTAGAGCTAAGATATTTAGCATGAAAGATTTTCTAATGAGTGTCTACCAAGTTTGTTCAAATAAAAGCCCTGGGGTCAAAATTGGCCCCGCCCCAGGGGGTCATTGATTTTCCCTATATTCATATAGTAAAAACTTTAAAAATCTTCTTTGAAAAAAACCAAATAGCTAGAGTTTAGATATTAAGCATGAAACATCTTCTAGTGAGTGACTACAAAGTGTGTTCAAATAAAAGCCCTGGGGTCAAAATTGGCCCCGCCCCGGGGGTCATTGTTTTTCCTAATATGTGTATAGCAAAAACTTAAAAATCTTCTTTGAAAATACCCAAATAGCTAGAGTTTAGATATTATGCATGAAACATCTTCTAGTGAGTGTCTACAAAGTTTGTTCAAATAAAAGGCCTGGGTAAAAACTGGCCCCGCCCCAAGGGTGTCATTGTTTTAAACTACATGTGTATAGTAAAAACTTAAAAAATCTTCTTTTAAAAAAACTTCGATGTTTAGCATGAAACATCTTCTTATGGGTTTCTACCAAGTTTGTTCAAATAAAAGGCCTTTTTGGGTTAAAATTGGCCCTACCGGGGGGGGGGGGGCGGGAGTAACGCAGGACATTTTTTCATTATATGTGTTGTAGTAAAAACATAACATCATGAAACATCTTCTAATGGGTGTCTTCCCAAGTTTTTCAAATAAAAAGCGCTGGGGTTTAAAACTGGCCCTGCTCCGGGGTCTATATACAGGTGAAAGCGACTTCAGGGCCATTCATGGCCCTCTTGTTTATTTATACTAAAAGGCCTCTGAATGCTAAGAGGTTTGAAAACTGGTTAGTCCACAATAAGTAATTACATACAGGTCAATGACATTAACTTAGCAAACTTTAAATGAGTGAAGAGAGAGAGAGAGAAAATCATAACTTAAACAAATAAATTTGACCATAATTTTTATGAACTGCAATTAAATGCATTATGGAAGATTATTTATATCAGGTGATCTGTTACATTTTTCATGTTTGTGTAATAGATTTTTATTATTCTATATTAAATTTTTAACATGTGTTTCTATATAACAATATATTTATATTAGAGGTTTATGTTGGAAGTACCTGTCCACAACCAACGGAATCTGTGCCAAATACAGCTACCTGCCGTGACAATAATGCTAGATGTATGTCAAGTGGTTCAAGTTCCTATACATGTCAATGTATTAGAACCTATTATGACAATATGAACAATAACAACAGGCAGTGTATTTTAAGTAAGTCTAATACTTCTTAAATTCATTTATTGGACATGATACTTGAAAGAAACTCATTTCATGAAATAATTGTTTATAATTAGACAAGTAACCGTCTCTTCTCTTGTATAACAGAACTATTGATTGTTTTATTGACTTTGTATGAAGTCAGATATTACATTAATTTTTCTATTAAAGGGAACGATAACTGAGCTTTAAGTACAACTTTTTTATGAGTAATTTATGCAAACATGTATTTTGACAAAAATGAAAAATGAATAATTTGACTTTGTCTAAGAAGAGCTTTGGAGATACTTGCAGTGGCACATATTATATTTGACAAAAAAAAAGATAATTGTACATTATATTTTTGTCTGGAAGAGGTCTGGAATTTTGCCCGTGAAACCATTTTTTCACGTTGGATCAAAGTTAGATTAAGGTGTAGATTGGGGGAGTAAATAAAGGGAAAATTTAAAATTTGGGTTTTCACAAGAAAAACAAACCCGTGTTTTTACAAGTGGGGAAATTTCAAGTTAAAAAAATTTCAACAGTTAGGGGAATTTTTTTTTTTATTTAAAAATATTTTTTACCTGTCCTAAAAAAAAAAAATGCTTACTTTTGTGACATTTAATACATTCTATTTATCCTAAAAAATTTTTACCCATTCATATAATCTTTGTGCAATTTAAAAATTTAGACTAAAGCAATTATTTTTTTTTCCCGAAAAAAAGGGGATGAAAGGATGAAATTTTTAGAGGCAGTGTTAATTAGAACAATAATATGAAATATTACCCATAAGAAATATTTTGTCAAAATTACTTTATGATCACCATTTGTATTGTGAATGCCCTTAAACTGTTCAACAAAGAACACCTCTTTATAACTCTTATTCTGTCCCTTTATGAGTTAAATGGGAATGTTGGTCAGTCTATCTGTATATTGGTCAATCACCACTTCACAGTAACTAGATAATTTTTTAAACTGTTTAGGATAATCATACTGAATGAGTAGAAGACATTTATTGTTTTGGACACATGGTGTCCGTGACCGAGTGGTTAAGGTCGTTGACTTCAAACCACTTGCCTCTCACCGCTGTGGGTTCATATTCCGACAGAGACTTTGGATTCTTTCATGGGAGGAAACTATTCAGCCAGCTTACGGAACGTCGGTGGTTCTACTCAGGTAACCGTTCGTGCCTGAAATAATGCGCGGAAGGGCAACTGAGGTATTCCTCCACATGTAAAGCTGAAACGTCGCCATATGACCTATAATGTTTCATTGTGATGTAAAACCCAATTAAAAAAACAAACAAAATAAAGGTTTTTGACTCCTATGCATGAAGGCAAATATCACATTGACAATGAATGTGAATCCAGTTTCCACTCAATAACTAGAGGACCAGTTTACCTACATCCTTCTTACTTCAGAAGATGATAACCTTCATTTAGAAGAAAGCCCTTAGTGTTTTTGCGTTTTGATGCATGATAGTCAAGGTAAAAGTGACTTTAAATGTGAAACACATTACGGCTAAACAACTTGAGATCTATTTTACTCATAGCCTTCAAACTTCATAGGGTCATCAGTGTCATTGATCCGAAGATCCTTATTGTAATTGTGCACCAATATGTGAAGATTAAGGTCACAATGACTGACTGTAAAACTCAATTACTAGAGAACTAATTAACCCATAGCCTTCTTACTACAAATGAAGTTCCGCCTGAAGGATTTTGAGAATCTCTTTTGTTTTTGACACAAGTGCATAATTGTCAAGGTCAAAGTGTCCCTGATTGAAAACTGTTTCTTCTTCTCAATAACTTAAATGGACAACTATATCAATAAATTTTTGTAATTTAATAAATAGAACTCTGTAATTTAATAAATAGAACTCATGTTTAGCGTAATACCTTTTTTAAAATTCTATATTTATAAGATATAATTAGATTTAGAAAAAAAATAGATAAGATCATTATATAGCACTTTAATGTTCTGTATGGTTTTTAGCTCACCTGAGCACAAAGTGCTTAAGGGAAAGCTTTTGTGATCAATATGTGTCCGTCATGCTTTATGCAATGTTCGTCCTTCAAAAATGGCGTCAAACTTTAAAAACAATATATTTTTCTGTATCGTCCTCCTTAAGTCAAATTTGTTAAAATTTGACAAGAATGTTCCTGGCATGGAACTCTAAAAAAATGTTCAAAGAATTCCATTCCATGCTAAATTTTGATTGCCATGGCAACAGAAAGAAAAAAAAACTTAAAAATCTTCTTATAAAAGTCAAAAAATAGCTTTAGCATAGATATTTAGCATGTGGGAGTCTACCAAGTTTTTTCAAATAAAAGTCCTGAGGTCAAAATTTGCCCTGTCCAAGGGTGTCATACAGTGTAACTTCTGAAAACCGAACACCTGTGGGACTAGCCAAAAATTTCGGAATTTAGAAGTTTCCGGAATTCAGAAGTTCGCTGTTACCTGAACAACTAGAAATATTAAACATCAATTACAACTAGAAATATTTAACATCAATTGTTTAAGTAAGACATGTTGAAAAATATATGAAGATGATTAAATTCATAAAATGGCAAAATTATAGGACTTTATAAATTATTTAAAGTGACTTTAAATGTCAACAAAATTGGTTGATGTTAATAATCACAATTTATCCTTTAGTACATTTCATATAGTACCTGCCTGCTATTAACCTGTAATTTTGTTTGATTTTTTTTGTAAACATCCATCACATTAAACCACTTTCACACATGTTTGACATGCTTGACATGTTGTGATTCTTAAAGGTGTCAAGATAAATAGTTACTGTTGATTGGAAGACATTGACTTTTTTAAAAGTTTCATTAGTATAATATTAATTCACCTCTTTTACAATTTCCGGATTTTTGAAGTAAATTTGAATTGATAAAACCTAAATTTTACCAGAAAATCGTTCGGAATTCAAAATTTAGAACTTTCGTAATTCAGAAGTAATAATTAAATAGAAAACAGAAGGAGAAATTTCGCGACTCTGAAAAATGTTCGGATTTCAGAAGTTTACGAATTTTAGAAGTTCCGGAATTCGGAAGTTACACTGCATGTATTGTGTAAAATCCAAAAAAATTTTTTTTTAAAAACCCAAAGAGCTAGAGCTTAGATATTTGATATGAAACATCTTCTAATGAGTGTCTACCAAGTTTTTTTCAAATAAAGGGTCATTGGGTCAAAATTGGTGCCACCCAAAGGGGGTCATTGATTTTTCTTATATGTATGTAAAAAAATCATCTTCTTCTAAAAAAGCAAAAGAGCTAGATCTTAGATATTTAGCATGTAACATATTCTGTTGAGTGTCTACCAAGTTGTTAAAATAAAATCTCGTGCATCAAAATTGGCCCCGCCCCAGGGGGTCATTGATTTTGCTAAAATGTATGTAGGAAAAACAAAACAAAATATTTTTCTAAGAAAGCCAATGAGCTACAACTTAGATATTAAACATGAAACATCTTCAAGTGGGTTTCTACCAATTTTATTGTAATAAAGTCCTGGGGTCAAAATTGGCCCGCCACAAGGGTCTTGATTTTCCTTATATGTTACTTATAAAGAAAACAATAAAAAGCTTCCTCTTAAAAAAACAAGGAGCTCCACCTAAGATATTTAGCATGAAACATTTTCTAATGGGTCTCTACCAAAATTGTTCAAATAAAAGCCCTGGGGTCATTATTGGCCTTATGGGTGTCAATGACTTTGCTAAGTCAGTCAAACGTGCATTAAGCGTCTGCACAAGGGAAACAACAAAAATAATTACTTGACGAAAGTATCTTATGAAAAAGCATGTGAAAAAAAGTATAAATTTATACATGACATCTTTCCCCGACAGTGGAGAAGCTTTTCAACTTAATTTATATAAATGTTTAATAATAATAATAACACTCTGATCATTTTTCTTGTCCCCGACACATAAAATCCAATTTTTGTAGATGCTTTGTGTGGTGCATTTTCAATTTGAAATAAAGAAATTAATCTAATTGTAACGATTAATTTAATTGCTGACAAAGTTCAAGGTAAATTCAATGCAGTCTTAATATCAACAGCGAAGATTAGAAACCAACTAAGTAGGGGCGGAGTGTTGCATTGTTCTTTCGATTTTATTGGATAATACACCTCACTCGTATAATTAAATTCATTTGCATATGCTAAAAACGTTTGGGAAATAGATTTTTTCACACATTTATATATTGTGTTTTGATTGTTAAAACTTGTGAAATCACGAGGCGGCTTTGGCTTAAATCACAAACACTTGACAGTTCGCATCACTTTTAGAATATGTCCTCTTTAAACTCTGTAAACTTATTAGTGTTTTATAATATTAAAAGTAGTCGCTTGATGAAAATATTAATATCAAGTAGCTGACTAATTAGCGGTCGCCGGTCGCTATGTTCAAAAGTTACTTAATATATTGAAGATATTTAGAGAAAGTTATTTGGGGAAATTACAGTAGTTGCATAAGACAAAAGTCGCAAAATGCATGTGGTGGCATTGGCAAAATATACTGTATTTTAAAGGGACTCCACTGAGGTTTTAAGAGCCTAAAAACAAAACATTTCAATTTTTTCATAAATGAACTGGGGCACTTTAACAGATATATATGCACAAATAGTTAAGAAATAAACTATGAAATAAATTGAAAATCGTATTTTTATGCTTTTCTGAGCCCGTTTTGAGTGAAAAGCGTTTAAACGCTTTTCATTTTGGGTCACTTTTTTACAATTTGAATTATTATTCTGGAAAAACGCATTAAGCGACTGATCTGAAATTTTGCACAAAGATTAGTGGTCTAAACCATCGACAAATGGTACATTTATCTGGAAAAAAATTCAGTCCCATCATTTCAAATAACCTCAGTGGAGCTCCTTTAAAAGGAAATACGGAAGAAAGCTAAAGAGCTAGAGCATAGATTTTTAGCATGAAACATCTTCTAATGGTTGCCTACAAAGTTTGTTCACATCATAGCCCTGAGGTCAAAATTTAGCCCTCCCCAGGGTTTTTTTTTATTTTCCTTTAATGTATATAGGAACTAGAAATGTGTCATCATGCCACGGATGCCCCCGCATGCAGCCAAAATTTCAGATGTTATAATATTTAGTTCCAAATTTGTTTGCACAAATTATTGTTTTCATTTTCAGTTCAAAGCCCTTAAAACTTTTCAACGTTTACACAAACCATTTTCATACAATGTTCAAGGCACTGATTATATTCAGTCTTAACCTTTTGAAAATAGCATATTTCATATTTGTAGCCAAAATAATGGCTACATACATTTCCACAAAAGTATGAGTGCTGAAACTGAAAGTTCAAATTTTTTCCAATATTCAAGAAAGATAAGTTTGTCCAAAATCATTGAACCATGACCAAATTCAAACTTAAACTGCTTATTCCTAAGATGTATCTATATTATTTTCATGGTGAAAGAGACATAACTCTGCCAAAAAATCATCGAACCATGACCAAATTCCAACTTGACCTGCCCATTCCTTTGACATATCCATATGTCAAATTTGAGTTGAATATGCAACACTGTTGGGTAGATTATGAACAGAAACTGTAAATTTCATATTATTTTCAAAGTGAAAGGGGCATTACTCTGCCAAAAATCATTGAACCATGACCAAATTCGAACTTGGCCTGGGCATTCCAAAAACATATCCATATGTGAAATTTGAGTTGAATGTGTTGTACTGTTGGGGAGATAATAAACAGAAACTGAAAATTTCATATTATTTTCAAAGTAAAAGGAGCATAACTCTGCCAAAAATCATCAAACCATGACCAAATTCAAACTTGACCTGTATTTTCTCATGACATATCCATATGTCAAATTTGAGTTGAATGTGTTGTACCGTTGGGGAGATAATGAACGGAAACTGAAAATTTCATATTATTTTCAAAGTAAAAGGGGCATTACTCTGCTAAAATCATCGAACCATGACCAAATTCGAACTTGACCTGTATTTTCTCATGACATATCCATATGTCAAATTTGATTTGAATGTGTTGTACCGTTGGGGAGATAATGAACGGAAACTGAAAATTTCATATTATTTTCAAAGTAAAAGGGGCATAACTCTGCCAAAAATCATCGAACCATGACCAAATTCAAACTTGACCTGTATTTTCTCATGACATATCCATATGTCAAATTTGATTTGAATGTGTTGTACCGTTGGGGAGTTAATGAACGGAAACTGAAAATTTCATATTATTTTCAAAGTAAAAGGGGCATAACTCTGCCAAAAATCATCGAACCATGACCAAATTCGAACTTGACCTGTATTTTCTCATGACATATCCATATGTCAAATTTGATTTGACTGTGTTGTACCGTTAGGGAGATAATGAACGGAAACTGAAAATTTCATATTATTTTCAAAGTAAAAGGGGCATAACTCTGCCAAAAATCATCGAACCATGACCAAATTCGAACTTGACCTGTATTTTCTCATAACATATCCTTATGCCAAATTTGAGTTGAATATGTGCAACCGTTACTAAGATAATGAACGGAAACTGATGATGACGGAATGACAGAATGACGGAAGGACGGAATGACGGAATGACGGAAGGACGGAATGACGGAAGGACGGAAGGACGGAACAGGGTAACACTATATGCCCCGGCCATTACATGGCGGGGGCATAAAAACAAACAAAACATTTTCTTCTGTATAATAAAGGGGCTGTAGCTTAGATATTTGATATGAAATTTTGTCTCGTGGACCTCTACAAAATTTGTTCAAATTGGCCAACCATGCAGGAGTATAGATATACCTACATGTTTATAGTAAAAAAATTAAACAAAAATCTTCTATAAATCTACAAGAGCTAAAGATTTGTTTCCATAGCAACCAGTGACTTCATAGCAGCCATTAACTTTTCAATGCAAACTGTAAATTTTCATAGCAACAAGAAAACATTAATTTTCCATAGCAACGAATGACTCTACCATTGCCTTTCATAGCAGACACTGACTTTCGAGGAAACCAATTATTTTATATAGCAAACAATGACATTCGTATGGAACTGTTGTTTTCCATAAGCAGTAGCAACCATTTAAAGTTTTTACACATGCACTTTTTCAAATACAAATATGAATTCTGTGATATCAGTTTAAGATTTAGATTTTTGTTCTGCTTTCATTCATTGTTAACAATATTACTAATGTTCCTTGTCGTTGAGAATATTCTTATTCGGGTGAGCGATATCAGGGCCATCATGGCCCTCTTGTTTAAATGTTATATTTGTTTACTTTTGATCAGATAAAGCTCTTGGAGAGACTTGCAACGAGGTTGCAACGGAAGCTGAATGTTCTAATCCTGCTGCCGAATGTTTAAACAGGAAATGTACATGTAACACTTACAGTTATGATAACAATGGACAAGTAATTGGTGGGACGTGTATGGCAAGTAAGAAAAAAGCAGTACTTCAAAGTTTAAAAAAAAATTATTATAAGGTTTAAACTTTAATTGTTGATGCTTTCCAAATTTTAGCATTCAATCCAACCAGTCATCAGTTATATACAGGTTAATCATGCAAGAAAATCATTTGTAAAATGAACTAATATTTTGCTTAATCTGGAAACTACAATTAAACTTTATTATTTTCTGCTTTGTCAGCAAACGATTTGTTTTGGCATCAAATGAAAAATATATAATGCTATGAGGCTTGGCATAGAAATGTTTGGATTTTTAAAACATTTCATTGGATTATGAATTTTTTCATGAAATGAAAAAGAATATAAGGGCCTCTGTAACCAAATTAAACTAAATGAATTCCAGTCACTTCCTCTTACTACTGTGGGTTAGAATCAAGTCATATACTTTGGTTTCTTTCATGCGAGGAATCTATCCAGCTAGCTTAAGGAAGATTCATGATTAAATTCAAATGTTATTACCTTAGATAATGCATGGACGGACTTCATCTAGCGCTTTAGCTTGAATAGTCTTTTTTATGAGCTTTCACATTGTAAGTTTGAGTTAAAATGAAACAAACAAAAAAATAAGATCTAAACTAAAATAAAGTACTGGCACAAATTTTCATTGAAAATCTCATACACCATTTGATAATACAAATATTTTTTCTTATAAAATTATAAAACTTTAAATACAAAAGTAAATTATCAAAAAATGTTAGAAGAAATTACTATATCTATATATCTATATTGCTATATATTTTGATTTATTTTATTGAAACTAGATAAATTGAAAGGTAACAATTTCAATTTACTGCTTTCTTATAAGATATGCTTGAAGCATATGTAGAGACTGCTAGTTATTTTATTTACATTTTAGTACTAGCTTCTATTAAGAACAATTATATGGTCTTCAAAAACATTTAACAGTGGTTTAAAAAAGTTTTGACATTGTGAAGAAATATTTATTCTCATCATTTATCCTCACTTTTTCAGTATCAGATCTACAAGTGAGCAATGTTGGCTTCAGTTCAATACAAATTAATAAGATAACAGTTACTTGGACGATACCCCAGAACTATAAACAGTTCATCAACAAATTTAAAGTGACCTGGAGACCAACCAACAATAACAATGTAAACAATGAGTCAGCAGACCTAGACTCTTCTCGTACATCATACACAATGACAAGAGGAATAGATCCTGGTAGAGCTTATACAGTTACTATCATCTCAATCAACGATCAAACACAACAAGGGTCATCACGTAATACATCAGTTGTTAGATATCAAGCTGCAAGTAAGATTTTTTATTGAAATTATTGTAGTTGTTAACACTTGTCATATGATAGCAATTTTATTTACAGGCACAGTAGTTTGTGAAGACTGTCATATAGTAGATATTTAGGGATGCCTTCATCCCATTGGTTTAAACTTCAAACTACTTGTCCCTTACCTCTGTAAGTATGAATCTCAACAGCAACTTTAGATTATTTTATGTGAGGAACTAATACAGCTAGCTTTCAGAATGTTGGTAACAGGTTCTAGATATCTGAAGTAATGTACTGAAGGATTCTTGATTTTTTTCTACTTCACTAAAGCTGAAAAGTCTCCAAATTACTATTTTTGTGTAAATGTGACTTTTTCTTTGCAATAAAGTTTTTTTAATAAGATTTTGAATAACTGGCATTACTTGCATTCCGTTTTAGTCAGTTGATGACTGCCTAGAGTTTAACTACTAATTGGTGCCTTAAATTTTGAAAATATTTCTCCTTTTTTTGTTACTTAAAATTCTCAAATTTTGCATTAAAATTTATTTATTGCTTGCTTTTCATCAAGAGAAAAAACAAGACTTTATTAACAATTAATTTTCTTGTTTCAGAACCAAGTATAACAAGTGGAATTGATGAGTCAAACAGTGATAAAGATATCAGTGGTGGTACTATAAAAGTTGCCTGGAATAACGCCCCTGATTACAAAAGTGGCTACATTGTAAAACTTAAAGATGGAGAAACTGTAAAGTTTACTAGGACTGTTAACGGTGTATCTGTAACATTGTCAAGTTCAGGATTAAAGAATGGATACAATTATGATGTTACAATACAAGCAAAAAGTGAACACTTTGATAATGGGAAGACTGTACTGGGTGACATTTTTACTTCGAAATTTAAAACCACTCCAAAATGTAAGTTGATATATTAAGTTTATTTTAGATAATATTCATACCATGCAATGTTATCTTTAGAATTATTGATTACACCAGTACAGTATATAATTATGATGATTATTATGGTTAACTGGAGGCTCCAAAAAACATTCATATTGTATCCCATTATTTTAACCTATAACCAATGCCATGAAATTTTAAGTTTGCCATTTCTGTAATGTAAATAGCAATAAAGAATAAACTTTCATCTTTATGTTATTTAAGAACTTGACAAATATAGCCTGTTAGAGTTCTATTATTGATATTAGATAGATTCTAAATAATAATATTTATATTAATATTTATAATTTTATTTCAGTTAATAATTTGAATAATAGTTGTTTGGTTTTTTTCATGGTTGAAATTATGTGATTTGATAGTGAAATACTGATTTACTTCAATTTATATTTTCCAAGTAGAGATCAGCTGACACAAGTTTGTATTGTTATCAAAAAGATATAATGCATAAATCATGTAACTGTTTATTACATGCTTTTCGGTGGTTTATAGAAATATATCAGTGATATAAAACTGATAATTTCACTGTTTTGAATTTTAGCCCCTAACGTTGTTTCAGTTAAATACCAGCGTGCACAGTACTGGGAACCAACTTAATGACGTGACGTCGTAAATGATGTCACATTATATTATTATTTGGCGCGCTTTTCATTCTATGTTATGTTAAATGTCTTTTTAAAATGTTTCTTTGCATATAATAAAAAGAAAATTTGTTTAGTTTAGTGTAAGATCGAAATATATTTGACCTTGTGAAGACCAAAAGTTCATATTTTACTCGTGGCTGCGCTACTCGTGAAATATACCTTTTGGTGCTCACTCGGTGAAATATATTCCGATCTTACACTGAACTAAACAAATATCCTCTATTCATTACATGCTTTCCGGTTGTTTATAGAAATATATCAGTGAAATATAAAACCCATTATTTCACTGTTTGAAACAGTGAAATTATCAATTTAATACTTACTGTTTTGAATTTAAGCTGCCCCTTATGATGTTTCAGTGAAATATCAGCGTGCGCAGTGCTGGAATCAACTTTATAACGTGACGTCGTAAATGACATAATGTTGTATTATTATTTGGCGCGCTTTTCATTTAGTATTATGTTAAAAATCTGTTTAGTTTAGTGTAAGATCGAAATATATATCACCACATGAACAGCAAGGCGTCCGTGGCCAAGTGGTTGAGGTCGTTGCATTCAAACCACTTGCCCCTCACCGCTGTGGGTTCGAATCCTGCCAGGGACTTTGGATTCTTTCATGTGAGGAAGCTATCTAACTAGCTTATGGAACGTCAGTGGTTCTACTCGGGTGCCCATTAGTGACTGAAATAATGCACGGAAGGGCACCTGAGGTCTTCCTCCACTAGTAAAGCTGGAACGTCGCCAAATGACCTATACTGTGTTGGTGTGATGTAAAACCCAATCAAACAAACAAACCTCATGATCACCAAAAGTTCATATTTCACTCATGGCTGCGCCACTAGTGAGATATACCTTTTGGTGCTCACAAGGTGAAATATATTCCGATCTTACATTGAACTAAACAAATACCCTCTCTATATTAAAGTGTAACAATGATTGACTTGATTTGAATCTAATTGCAGCACCTGGACCACCAATAAATGGTACATGTAAAGACCCTACAGACAGTTCTATATCACTTGATTGGGAAGCACCAATAAATCCAAATGGTGATTTAGTACAGTACAACATCCATGTTTATAAACACGGTAGTCTTGTGTTTAACAATGTCACCTCAACAGGGACACGAACAGATAAAACTGTTGGAAATCTTGAACGTGGTAAGATGTTAAAGTTAAATGACATTTAAATTTAAGTTCTTATTCATAAAATAGTCCACTCATCTAAATTTAGAATATACAATGACAGTATAAACCAAAGATCTTAGTAGGGATTAGAAAAGAGAAAAAGATATCATTCTTAAAGTATACAAAATACACTGTAAACAGCGCATGAAAAAGAAATTATTGAAATATATCTAAATGAATATATTTGTTATGAAATTTAAGGGTTTATAATGCTCAAGTATGTTATCTTATTTTAGCCATTTACACTGAAACAACACAGTATTTTCTTTCTTAGAGACCCAGATCTTTACACAAGTTAAGTTGCTATGAAGATATCAATTCAATACAATGCTATTTAATTTTGATTTTTTACTGATGACAAACAGACAAAAGAAATATGGTTATGATAACTGATTTGCCATTTGCTAAATTATAAATGTGCTAAATACAAATTCTTCTAAGGACTCCACTAAGCAAAATGAAATAGTTCAGAAATGTATGTAATATCTTCTGGGTTAAAAAGTTAATACTGAAGGCTTCTTGATAAAAAAAGATTAAAGTTTTAGTAATATTTGATTGTGATTAATATTATATCATGATTCAGGAGTTATCCTTGAAATTGACTACTGATAGTCAAAGGTTTACTCTGATTAATGTTTCAGGAATATTTTACACATTTAAGATATACACGGTGAATGAAGTTGGACAATCAACAAGTTCACTACAAATTACATCCACAAACTGTAAAACTAAAGCTAGAAGTATGTATTTTGATATATCGTAGACCTACATTAGTTTGTTCTGAATATCAATTATTTAATACTAAGTGAAAATTTGAATGTTGAAAAAACTTGAAACTGACATTGATTTATTCTAGATATTAAAAAAGAAAAAAGATTCCTTTTGATATGAAATGTTTGTTTTATGCAACCGCAGTATCTGTGCAATGCACCTTTGTGTGTTTGTGTGTGTGTGCGTGTGTGTGTGTGCACGCACACGCTATAAAAATTATATTGCGAACTTAAAAAGTGGCAACTCCAAATTGAACCAAACTTTGCAGGAATTTTCCTTGGGTGAAGGGCTTCCAAAGTTGTTCAAAAAATTTGACTTCATGCAGACAAATTATAAGATTTTTTTTAATCTTCTCCGAAAAACCCCCAAGGCCTAGAGCTTAGGTATTTTGCATGAAGCGTTGTCTTTTGAGTATCTACCAAGATTGCAAGGTCAAGGTCGCTAGAGATGATAAAATATCCAGATATTGTCTAAATATTACCCATAGCATAGCATAATATTTTCTTTTATAAACCATCTTTAGCCAAGGATTATCGATGAAATTTTGTTATGAGACCTATTTTGATTATATATTGTTCCCCTAGTTTTGAGGTTTAAAGTGAATTTGTTTATGATGGAAGATCTGTTTATACAATATATAAAATTGTTGATAGAGTTTTACATTACGTTTAGTAAAAACAGCAACAAAGTTTTATATGTATGCTTTTTGCTAGTGTGAGATTAATGATTTGATATTACATAATTATATTCATATAAGAGATAATTAAATATTAAAGAAAAAAAAATTTTTTTTTCATGGTTCATGTTTATACTATGGAAAATTTGACCATTGTAGAACAGTTAACTTATTGGTGAATATAATAAGGCTTATCATTTTATATCCAAACTGTTCTTAATGAGTCCTTTCTATGAGATGGATGTGAAACTTTGATTATTTCTATTTTAATCAGTGTCAGCTATGCCAGAAAATCTACAAATAACAGATGTTACAAGTCGAAGTCTTCTGATTTCTTGGGATAAACCTGTAGATACGTTCAGCGATGAGACCTATGGATATGTTCTGCAAGTTAAGGATGAGCAAGACAAGTGTAAAGAAGAGGTTCTTTATAGATGCTCAGACTGTACAGGAACTTTTCCGGTAAAGGTTTTAAAATATGATTTATATCGATTGAATAGTGCATTTATTTGTAATTAAACAAAATGTCATTTCTATAGATATCTTGCTTACCAAGTATACACGAGTTAATTTTGGCTCGTGATGGGATAAGCAGCCTTATTATTCCTTCAGGTATAAAGTTTATATTATAGCCTCTTTATAGCCAAAAATAGACACAGTCTTAGTCTGCTGTCACTGCATGAAGCAGTATTACTTGTAGCTCACCTGAACCAAAAGTGCCCAGATGTGAACTTTTGTGATAACATGATAGTCATTATTTAATTATTGCAATGTAGCCCATTATTCAAACATTTAAGATCTTTGAATAGTGATGAACCATTTTAACTAGAATATTTGGTAAAATTTAAGTATAATGATATCAAAACTATGAAAGGCTTCAACATGAATTATGGAATATTTGTCATAACCAGTCACAATACCAAGACAAGGAGCATTATTATGAAAATTTTACTTATGCCACAGCAGCATCTCCGATGCGGTGGTATATAGCGATTCAACTCTGTGTGTGTGTATGCGTGTGTGCGTGTGTACGTGTTATGTAGATTATATAATGGACTTAGAAAATGCTAAAAACTACCAGTCAAATTTCAACCAAACTTGCAAAATTGTTCCATTGAGAAGAGCTTGCATCTTTGTTCAAAATTAACTTTTTCCTTGCAGAAATGTGGTTGACATGGCAACCAAAAGGTATGATAAGTAGAAATTTAAAAAAAGAATCTTCTGAAGAACGTAAAGTCTTAGAACATTGATATTTTTGATAAGGCATTGCCTGGTGGCGGGGTGGGTCCAATTTTGATCCCCCGGGGTCATTTATTTTCATTATATACACACTTATATTAAAAACTTAAAAATTATTTGTGACTGAAGATAGGAGGCTTTGAGATTTGATAATTGGTATATCATAACATCTGTAGGTCATCCACACAAGATGTTCAAACTTTGTCTCTAGTATAAAAATTGGACCCATCCTGGGGGTCATTCATGAACAAACACAAACCAAAATGGACAAACTTTGTTATCACTCTAGAAGTTACATTTTCATCCCAAATATCCTTGACATTGGTCAGAAAAAATCTTTGAATGATTTCTAATTCAGGTTTAAATAAGGGTCATCTGAGCTCGAAAACCTTTCACAGCATATAAAAAGCATAATAATATGGAAAATGTTATTAACACTCAGGGTCTTTCAAATAGAATGATGGTCTGGAGTCGGACCAATTTTACGAAAAATGATGTCTCGGTTGAGTCACGTGATTGGGTTATCTATCTACCGGCCGAGATCTGGCATAGTACATCACCATTAAAAAATCAAATTCTAAGATAATGTTTTATTTATTCAATCAAAAATTACTAAAAACTAACCCTGGCTATATTATATTATCAGTTTTTACTATAAAAAGAAACAATTTTTTAGATTTTATAGATGTGCAATGAAATTAGAAATTTTCATTCTCTTTGTCAAGGTAAGAATCTACTGCTTATATTTAAAAAAATAGTTCCGAGCTTCACGAGCTTTTTTAAAATATATTTGTCAGAGCAAAAATGTTATTTAATCGTATCATGTAAAAATGTTATAATAGTTCAAAACTGGTCTTGTTCTGGGAGTCACTTTGATGGAAAAAGCTTCAAATCTTCTTATTTGAGGTAAAAAGCGCAAAGTGAAGATATTTGTCAGGTATCATTTCTTAGTAAGGTTATACCAATCATACCTTTATTGTCATAATTGGCACACCCAAATTTAACACAATTAATATAACTTAATCATGAATTAAGTAATGATGACCTTATTGTAATATGGTATGAATTGTTTGTAGTATTTATTACACAATTAAAATACATATACGTCATTTGTATTTTTTTATTTCAGACTTCTAAAGTTTCAGGATTATGTTCTTTAAATAAACAGCCCGATTTCTACAAAACTTCAGCCGAGTTAGCGAGTCAGTTGTCATACAATGCAATCCTTAATCCTGACATTAACTACATAGTTACTGTTACAGCAATAAATGACGAAGGGAGAGGTCATCCTGCTACATTGACACAAAGGACAAAAGAAGAAGGTATATAATATAATATAATTATTATGTCCCTTATAATGCAAAGTTAACTGTCTGACTTTACATCACGTCAGCAGAAAGAAATGCTTGATAGTTGGTCAGTTAAATTGATAAAACTTACGTAATTACAGAACAAAAGACATTTGTCTTTTTTCCAAGAAACATTTTCTTACATATAATGCAATGAAGTTTGTCATAAAATGCCTATTGCACATCTTTTTTCAATATAATTAAGAATTCATTCGGTGAACTGTAGTAGGAAAGCGTTGTCCGTTCACCTGTCCATCTATTTGCACTTATAGATTACCTTTGTGGCAGGTAAGTGTAATTAAGCGTTGATGTCATTCATTCCATAAGCTTCTATGACGCTCTTTTTATGTGGTTAAAATACCAATGGAGGGAACAATAAAGAAGTCACAAATCTTGTTCGAACGCCCATCATCTGTCCGTTGACAGTTGGTTTCCGCAGCGTAACTTTTGAAGAATTTCAATTATTATATATATTTGGCATAACATTTTAAGTATGTTGATCAAAATACATGTTAGTTTCGATATTTTCTGATATCAACTCCTTATCAATAGAGTAATGCCCCCTTTTAACACATTTTCTGCGAAATTAATGGTTTCCACTGAATATCTCTTGAAGGATTTTAGTGATTGTGGAAACATAAGCATGTATGTATGTTAAATCAACATGCTGGTCAACGTCAATTTTCGCTGCAATCAGCTTATCATTTATAGAGTAATGCCTTTTCTAAAGCTATTTTTAGTGACATCAGTCGTTTCTGCAAGATAATTTTTAAAGGATTTCAAGAAGTTTGTTTATATTATTTCATGTAAACCTTTTTGTGCCTCAAATTCCTGCACGAACGCACACGAGAAGTCTTTCTTCGCCAATAAAGCTGAAAAGTCGCATTATGACCTTTGCAGTGTTGGTTGGCTCAGATCTGGTTGCTTCTAGGAACGGATTCGATAGTGTATCTATAAGCTTTTAGCTTCCTTCATAATTTAACTAAGAATAAATTCTGTATAAAAGAAATACAAAAGTTTTAAATGTGTAATGAATAATATTTCTTGAATGTTAATCTGATTTAACATACACCAAGCAAAAACAGAATAGCTCACATACTGTACAAAAATAATCAGTAAATTTTATTTTAACAGCTCCTCAGACTCCATATAATGTTAAAGTTGTAGGCATGACTGCAACAACATTTGATATTACTTGGAGTATAAATGGACCAAGGCCGGGCCTTACAACATATATTATAATGCTTACAGCAGATGTTCCTGCAGAGTCAATGAACTTTACTGCTACTGGTAAGTATATTTCCATTCATTTCTCTTGTAGGCAAAACAGCTACGTTTTGCCCATTCAAGTGTCAATAGTGAGAGAGAAGACAAATGTCAAAATAACTACAATTTGCCATAATTATTGTCAATTTAAAGTTCTTCTTCACATATATAATCTTTAACTTAAATGACCCTCGGAAATGTCTGATTAGTTATGTATTAGCAACGTTCATTTGATAAACACAGTAAGGCGATCATTTATATTTTAGGCAAAATTTATATTTCATTTTTAACATTTACAGTTCCATTTTCTGGTCATTGACCATTAAGACAGACACTTTTTTGAAACATGTAATTAATTCTACTGAATTTGCCAGTATAAAAATGTACATAATGTCAAGTATACAAAAGTTTTCCCATACGCTGTATTCGTGTTTAATTGTATGTCTTGTCATAAACATTTAAATAATGTTCAGGTTTTGCTTTGAGAGAATACAAAGCATTCGGATTACAAGAGTACTGGAATTACAGTGTCGCTGTGATGGCAAGTACATCAATTGGAAGCAGTAAATCAGCAGTGACAAATGAGTACAGGACTTCACCTGCAGGTAATCCTTGAATACAGGACTGATATCAAATTGATCATCCTAGAATGTCTGAATTACGAGGATTTATCAATATGTAATGCAGTATCATTAATATTTTTTTTCAGAAGAACAATAATTTCCTTGTACAACAATACAAAGTTTCTGACGTTTAATGCAAGGTTTATCTTTCAATAACTGAAAAAAGGCCAACCCAAGTGCATTTCTTCTCTTGTAGCAATGACCTGCAATACATAATTGTAGTCTAGAAAAGAGGGGAAAAGCCACCACAGGGTGCCTAGGTAGCGAATATGATGGATGTTGAAGGCAGTCAGTTTTCTTTAATTAAACATCAATAACAGTAGTACGTTTGTGTGCAGGAGCGTTGTTTTGCAGAAAATGCCTATCCTACGAGTCAAAGGACAAAACTTATTGAAGTGTTTCTCATTTATTCTTCAAACGATGTATCTAGAATACTTGGATGTAACAGAACGACCTCTTAAAAAGGAATTTTAACAAAAGTTCCATTGGTATTAAATCATATAACTTCCGAAACTTTCGTGACATTTTAAGAAATATTTGAGCACATTTGTGCTCCTTCTCCCTGTCACATGTTAGCAAAAATATCTAGCCGTTATTCGCCTCACCTTCAGGTGATTCTTCAAAATCGTATGAGCTGGCTCTTTTGATATCGCTGCAATATTGGCTATTTTTGTTATTTAAAGTCTGACATCTATGTAAATGATAAGCATGACTTTATGAATGTTTCTGACAGTAACTATGGCACGTCTTCTACCAGATTTATAGGCATCTTTGACTCGTGCCTATTTTTAAATTTATACGTCCACCTAGAAACAGTTGCATAAGATACTTCATTGTTGTCTATCATAATAAACATTTTTAGCATATTTTCCTAGCCTTGCTCGAGCTTTTATGTAAGCCCGTCTTACCATTTTACATGAAGTTACTCGTGTAAGGTATTTAAAATGCGAATAAAATTTTTAATCGGCTGACTACAAACATGATTTTGTTTCATTTAAAAACAGATGCAGATGTGAAAAATACGATAATTGGAATCTTTATATCCGAATAAACTTTTACACACTTTAGGTATAAAGAGGATAATTAATGTGTTTGCCATTCAGATATTAAGGTCTAAGATTCTATAATTTGCGTAAAAGGAGTTATCAGACGACTGTCAGAATGAATCAAATGAAGAATTTATACTGGTCATATTATAAAATAATAGCTGTAATACTATTCTATTAGTCACATATATAGACTTGAATATCGACCTTATCATATAAAAACTTTATGATATAACTTATCTTTATGATTACGGGGCATATTTTGGCATAGCCAAGAACGGAAAATGTTTCTATATGCAAAGTAGAAGGCAAACTTAAATATGAATTGCTATGTAAACCTATGTTGGTAATTATAGCATCAAGATATAGAACTTTACGTATTCTTGTGTTTGATTTTTAGCACCTGGCAAAGTTTCCGAATTTTCTATAGAACCACATCCCGATGAAGACTTTACAAAAATGAAGATATCATGGAAAATGCCGACTATATTAGAGAGAAATGGAGTCATCAAAAGCTACCGTTTCGAAAACAATGAACCAGGGGTATGTGTTTGTATACATAAGGTAGTCTTTATGTTTTTTACTTCAACAATGTATGCCCTATATTAAATTAAAAATGCGTTAAAAATCCTTTGCGCATGAATTTCGTTGTATTATTCAAAATGCACGTTGTAATTTTACATATATAACAATTGTTCAACGTTTGAACCACGTGAAGCTCTGGCCATTATACACTGTGTAGAACAATACTGATTATGTTAAGAAAAACCTATATCAGACTCGGCTAGTGTCTCGTCCAATATATATTTTACAGTCGTACGTGTACACTTACAATATAATTCCGTATTTAATTTAACATTGTAATATAATCTCATGACTGCCAGCTATTCATTTATTGATTTTGACGTTCAAGATGATGTTGTACAATGTATGATTTTATCATAAGTGAGCACAAATCGCCTTATAAATAACAAATATGAAATTGAAAAAAAAATGATTCCATATCTTAATATGAAAAACTCAATTTTTCCATCATTTGTTAACGTAAATTTCCTTCAAATCCTGTTATCAAATAGGGACTTCTTTTAAACTTTATTGAATATTTTTGTGCCAAGATAACAGGCAACGTCTTGCATTTTCTTTAAGTTGTTTTACTGCCAAGTCTTAAAACATTACTAGATATGCTCAATAAGTGTCTTTACTTTCTTTAAGAATGTGACGGCGACAACAAATTTCCAACAGAATCATCCAGGTTATACTTACACAAAAACGGTATATGTAGTGCCAGAAGAGAAATACACATTTAGGGTGAATGAACTTTTAAAATACAATTGCTTACCTTATTAAGAAATACGAAAGCTATATAGAAGAAAAAAGTTCTTAAAATTAAATGAAAACGTATGTGATTTTCCGGAAATACGCCACACACATGTGAAAGACTGAAACTATTTCTCTGTGTTTATTGTAATGCACTTGGTTGACCGTCCGTCTGATATTTCGTATCCGCTCTGTATCTTTGGAGCCGATGGAAAGAAATTGAAACTTCTTGGAAGAAAACTTTATGCATAATGAGAGTGCAGGTTTTAACTTCCTTGGGTCATTGTCATTATATAAAAAAAACACTTGAGTAATTATTCAATAACCAGAGTTTAGATATTGAGCATTTAGAGGCGCATCTTATGCACATGGAAGTATACAGTAAACATGGCTTAAAGCTCTTTTCCTCTGAACCTACAGCTTGGTTTTTATATAAAAAAGATCAATTTTCTGCACATCATTAACATTACATGAGTTGTCTGTGTGAGTAATGATGTTTATGGGTATGAAGGAAGGTAATAAAACAGCAAAATATTCAGAATCGTAGTATTTTCAATTTTGATTAATTTTGGGGTACTATTTTGTATTTTTAAGTATAGGTATAAGTTCATTTGTTTGAGCTTTTCTTTAAATATTTATCATTTAAAAATAAATATTATTGCTGCTTAAAGCCAGTAAATAGAGCTTTTTAGGGATAATTGTTTGTATTATGTATAAAAATAGGTCTTCTATATAAGTAATTAATATTGATCTTAAAGTATTTATATTAACGCAATATATTACATGTATGACAGATTATTTAATGTGTAGTCATGTAACTGATTACAAAAAAAAATATTGTCAAATTGTTTCAAAGATGTCAAAATAATACTGAGTCAAACTCCAATCTATGTTGTTTGATTTATTGATAAAATAGATATACTGAGATTAATCAAAACTTTCTTGGCTCATTGGTTAAGATCCTTAAGATCTTTCCCCTCACCGCTCGGGATTTGCTCGTACCTTAAGTAACGCAAAGAGGGGTACCAAAAGTTTTTCTCTAGCTACGTAGACTAAAAAAATATAAATTTTAACTTACATTTACATCAAATAAATAATGTTAAAACACTTACAATAATGATATTGTTTTCTTAATCAAGAACATTATTATTGATATCAGAGAAATATTGTTTCGTATTTCAAAGGAATATTTTCTTAATATAAACTTCTTCCAATATTGGGTCTTTCTGTTAGTTTGGGAAATGAGAAGTATCTCTTTATCAAATAAATTTGGGGCAGTAAAAAAAAAAACAAGGGGATTTAATCCTTAAAGTTATGTTTGTTCCCGGAAATGCACTCTTTTTATAAATTATAACTTCAAGTTGGGAAAATGTTAGTTATACAAAATTATCTGAGATATTTAAGTTGTAGGTTTATGCAATAAATGAACAAAACATGGAAGGAGAACACATTATGGTTACAAAAATGGCTCCTCCAGGAGGTTTGTTACTTAGATATTTTAGCCTTTTTAAATCTTCATTTTGGAGTTAACAATTAATTAATGGCTATCACAATTTTTTGTGTCGCCTCTACAGAGTAGTGGCGACTAAGGGATCACTCCGTCGTCTGTCTGTATGTCTGTCCGTCCGTCACAAAACTTGTCCGGACTTCCCCTCAACAACTACTGGTGCAATTTCATCCAAACTTTACAGGAATGATCAGTACCAAGTCTAGTTGTGCATATCATCGGCACTTTCCGGTTCAATGATTTTTGTTAGATTTATGGCCCTTTCTAATTGTCTTTTCTTTAAGTTTGTCCGGACTCCTCCTTCTATACCACTGATGCAATTTCAATGAAACTTTACAGGATTAAATTGTAGCTCAAGTACTTGCGCATAGTACACGGGATTTCCTTTTGAGTGATTTGTGACTGAGTAATGGCCCTTCGGTAAAAAATATGTGTTGTTTGCTTTTCGTGTGTTGCAAGCTAAACATAATCTTGTCGGACTACTCCCCAGAAAATACTTGTACTACTAATGTAATTTAATCCAAACTTTACAGGATTGTTCAATAATAACTTTTGTTGTGCAGATCATCGGCTTTCTCTGGCTCAATGATTTTTCTTTTGAGTTATTGCCCTTGAATTATTTTTATTTCTAAAGTTTGCCCGAACAAATTCTCTTCTACCACTGATGCAATTTCAATGAAACTTTACAGGATTGATAAGTATCTCAAGTACTTGCGCATAATATACAGGTTTTTTGCTTAAATGATTTTTGGCCGAGTTATGGCCTTTCAATAACAAAGTTGGGTTTTGTGATGCCAGCTACACAGAAGCTTGTTTCAACTTCTCCTCAGAAACAAATAGTAGAATTTCATCAAAATGTTTCAAGAATGATCATTACAATGTCTAGTTGTGCATCTCGTCAACAATTTTTGATTCGATGATTTTTGTCAGAGTAACGCCCTTTTCAAAATTTATCCGGACTACTCCTGTTATACCACTGATTCATTTTCAATGAAGTTTGACAGGATTGATTGGTAACTCAAGTAACTGCTCACATTACATGGGGTTTTTGGTTGAATCATTTTGGCCGAGTTATGGCCCTTAAATAAAAATTGCGCTTTATCTTGTAAATCGTGTATGTGTCATCTGCTACACAGTAGCTGCAACATGCATTTGGCTACCATGAGGGAACACATGTGATCACTGTTTGCCTTTATTAACTAGTAGTTAACTACTTTTTTGAAAACGTGTTAAACATATCTCACTAATAAAATTTAGAGAGAGAATAAAATAGTTGTGTTACTTGTGAAAGGAATAAATGGTCTGATTATTTATTATATATCTTGTTATTATTTTGGTTCTTTCTGTCATAATAACTATTAATGTGTGTCGTAGTAAATGAAATCTTTTTCGAACTTCTTTGTACATATTTAAATTAAGGATATAATGTTAAAGGTTTTTTTTTATTTATAAAGATACTTTATCTGGTGGTACGAGGTAATAATCTGTTGAAGTAAATACTATAAGAAAACAATTGTCATTTCAGTTCCTTTAAACATCGAGGAAAGTTTAAAAATGGATGTTATCGATTTACAACGAGAGAAGACTGTAACTGAAAGACAAATAACGATAACATTAGTTCGGGAGTTTTTTGAAGAATCTACAAATGGCAAAGTACAAACCACTGGAATCTTAGTGTGTGTTAACAGTTGTGACTTTGAAGGTAATATTTTCCTTTTGTAGATATTAAAAAAACAATGATTGTGCAAGTTTTGCAGATTATATGAAATTTCAAAAAAAAATACAGAAAGGAACTTTAAAAATTTACACAACACTGTGGAATGTGATTTGATATATAATAATATGTTTTTTGTTACTTCACTTCGATTGTTAGGGCCCATATCCGTAATGGTCCTGTCTAAAGGGTACAAGTAGTTTGTTATATAACTCTCGCCGAGCGGATCGGGTAATGAAACAACCATTTATACAAGTCCTTATGATCTGTCTCAGATGTAAGCTCATTAAAAATTTTATAAGGTATTTTTAAAGGCGTAATGACAATAACGGATGTGAATGCAATGGAAAATTGGGCAGGAGCATCAAAGAAAGGTTCGACGTCATATCGGGCGACAAATTCTGACTGGCTAGATAAGGCTACTGTACAATATACATGTGGTATGTTGCAGTTTTCAGTTAGATTTTGCAACTTTTAAAATTCGCGTACGTATCATTCATTTTTTGATAACAAGGATATTTTATGTTATCGCAGTAAATACATCTAGATAAATGAGATTAAACGTAATACTTATACTTGTATATGCTTAAAAGTTTCGACAAGATGTATTGAATGAAAGAAGCAGGACGTGAAGTAGTTGAACACTTGGTTTAAGGGATTTGATTAAATTCTCACACAGTAATAGAGAATTGTAAGTAAAACTGTATAAAAGCTATCATTCTTACTTAATTTATGACATCGTAAAGTGATAGACACCGAAGAGAGAAAGTGAGTTGTCCAAGATCAAACATGGCAGTGATAGACACCAGAGAGAAGAAGTGTGTTGTCTCTAAAATCAAGTTCGCTACCTTAGATATTTTCATGTTTCCTCTCACAACCTTTATTGGTTTATTTTAATGTGCAGGTTCGGGAGAATCCATCAGATATATTCTTGTTTAAAACAATGCAAATATAAATAAAAATCAGAAACAGAGCTAATTAATTATTTGCGGTTTTGATTTTATCATGTTCGTATGACTTTGATTGCTTTAGTTTAAGGAAGAAATAAAAGAAAGAGACAAATATTGAGTACATTGTTATGGTTCATTTTTAGGAAGAAATAAACGGGAAGTAACAAATATTGAGTACATTGTTGGCAATGATGATTGTACAAATGTCTCGCCAGATGAATTTTGTAATGGACCTCTTCAACCAGGGACAAGTTATAAGTATTGGACTATGTTTATTAAAACCCTACATATCCAATATTTCAAAAGATATTGATATATACTAGTAGATACTTTGTAGATAACCCACATAATAGTTTTTCTCTTTAAAAAAAGTAAATAAATAAAAGTGTTTGCCATAGTTTAAACTAAGTATTGAACAATTTGTATACATTGCTTGATTTTTTGCTAACAGGTTTGTAGCATTTACGTGTACAAATGGAGGATGTCTTAACAGTCGTCAGTATGGACCTTTTACAACGGCTAATGCAGGTGAATTTGTAAACATGATAGTTGGTGCAAAATGATCGGCATGAATAGATTTCAATATAAATGTTCACCAAATATTTTTTTTTTGTATTTCAAAGCAATCAAGTATTTTTTATTTATTTATTTATTTATTTATTTATTTATTTATTTATTTCTATTTATTTATTTATTTGGTATTTAAAAGCAATAGATAGTATACCAAGAACGCCTTGTAAAAGGCAACATATCAGATCGCAAGAACTTTGGTAGATAAAATCATTTTACCAGGGTACGCTATTTCCCTTTCAAAACGTCGCAGATATTCATATAACATTATAAACAAGTCTCATGTCAGACTACTAAACACTATATAGGGAAATCTTCTGATATCTTATAAAATGAATTAATTGATTTTCATATTCAAAAATATATCGGAAGAAAAGCAGACCAGTCTTATTTTCTAATTTAAATTTTCAAACCTGAAACATGAATTTATTGTGCATATCTAGATTCGCATTGCTCCGAGTGTAATACTACCAACTCACAAGCTGTCATCGTTGGAGTTGTACTTGGCCTAATTATCATCATTCTTCTATTATATGCTGGCTATGCAACTTACCTTATCAGAAGGTATAGAGCGAAAGGTAGGACATTAGTAAGATATAGAAAATTGCATGATAAATGTGATAAATAGAAGAGAAAAGACAATAATGCCAATTTAATTTCACTCCTCTTATTTTCGAGCACGAGTGGTTTAGTTCGTTGACTTGAAAGCACTTGGCCCACAATGTTGTTGGTTTTAATATTCGCCAGGTACTTTCTTGTCTTTTATGCACTGAACTAACGGAAAATCGCAGGTTCTACTCGGATTCCCGCTTATGCCAAAATAATGCACAATGGGGTACCTCAGGTCTTTATCCATCAGTATTTTATAATCTAAAACTAAACTAGTCGACTTTGCCTATATGAATAAGAAAACAAATTCACACTAGTTATACTGATGTTCTACCGGTATTGTCGAGTTTGGTGTGTTTCATTAGATTTCATATCAAGACATATTTGTCATCTTATAAGGCAGGAAGTTTATAATGTAGTTGTATGCTAGCTGTGTGTGTGGATATTTATTATCATGTTTACGAGTGGAAGGATTATTGTTTTTTGAAAAACATTTTCCATGCACATGGGATACTCATATTTCACGCTGTGATAAATGTGTAAACTGTTTATACTTTATGTTTTCCAGATGAACAAGAAATAAAATTTGAAAATAAGTAAGTAAAGTATGATGAATTATTGATTTAAGTAAGTAAAGTATGATAAATTATTGATTTATGTTTATTTGTTTCTGTGTGCAATTTACGGCAATTTTACACATATTTGGTCATATCTCGGCAGTCAGTCCCCTGGATAACTAACCAAATGTTAGCAAGTTCTTCACGTGTGACCAAATACTAATACAACATGATTTTAGAATCATCGGTTCGAGTCAAATGACCATTAGACTCGATATCCAAGATCAATTTTACGATGACATATCGCCTCGCCCGAAGATCGGACCAGATCCGATGCTATTTTCATTGAATTAAGCGGGATAGCAATGATTTATGATTAAGAAGTATGATAACATAATGTGTATTTGTATTCTTACATCTTAAATATATATCAGTCATTTAGTTAAACACTTAGTGTATGTTAAATATTTGGTAAATTGTTAAAAAAATAAATAAATAAAAAACAATAATAAAAATAATAAAACGACCTGCCAACAGCACTGCTTTATGATGAAAACATTGTTTAAATTTCAGAAAGAATCGTAAAAATCAAACGTATGAGAATGAAACATTCATGCTCGGTACAGCAAATACATCGGGTAACTTAAACGTTGATTCAGAAGTTGAGAACGTATATTCCAGACTCGATGACAATGCAAGAGAAGACAAAACAACATATGAAAGTCTTAGACCATGATCATAATACTGCTGTGTTTGGATATTTCTTGTATAATCGGCTCTTTAACTTTTTTTCATTTAGCTTATGTAAACATAATATTACGAAACATACTTGTAGGTGTATATATTGTATATATTTTGATTTTTATAATTGCACAATTATATCAAAAATTTTGTATTAGTCACGAAAACTTGTTAGGTTTATATTTGTTCCTTTCCTGACATAACTATGTAATACATTTTCAAAGTACACAAATGATTACTTAATGATTAAGTATCAAAGGTCAGCATCATTCAATAAAGAAATGTAGTTTAATAATACAAACAGTTTAATTGTTATTATTGAAGTATAAAATGCAAGACCAAATGCTCATAACACATCAATATTTATCTGCCAATGTGAGTCTACAATTGGCACATTTGACATATTTTATCGAAATATTTATAAAAACAGTAGCAAGGAATCATATTGATCTTCTTATATTTCTTGTAAAAATATGGTATTCAAGTTGTAAATGATTATGAACATTTATAGGATGAATACTTACTCTTTTTCAAGAACAATTAAATATCTGCTTTATATAGGTATATAATATTGGATCATGTATCTTATGTATTACCAGCAACATCGATAAATAATTCTTTCGTGGTTTGTTTTCACGTATTATACTAATACAATCAACGTAATTATTAATGGCATTACAAACCTTACATTTTAGACGAAATCATTTTAACTAACTGCATGCATCACGTTCAGGAATACTACCCGACGGACAGAAATCATCATTTTATACGAATGTGATACGGAGATACGGAGTGTCGTTAAATGTTGTACTGGCAATACGTCATGGTTGAGTATATTCAAAATTGTTAAAATGTAAACACGTGTATAATAAAAAGTTATCCAAGTCTCTTGATGTTCTATTTCCATTGAATCTCGTTGATTGTACCTGCAAGGACCTTTCGCGGCGCTTCTCAGTAACAAATATTAGAGAACATTTTATGATCGTGATAGTGGTGAAATTACTATAACATCAGTAATGAAGGCGTGTCTATCGCAAAAAAACAACATTTGGTTTAAATTAAATGCTAGGCTTTTCAATTTTTATACTGATATATATCTATGCGGGCTCGTATTTATGGTTCGACGAGTCTCCCTACGACCTCTCGTGTTTGTTCAAGATTTCTATCAATTTGACCACATCGGACGTACACTTTTGGCGGGGGATTGGGATTATTGTAGGTTGGGAATAAGGGCCTTGTAAAATTTACATATGATATTAATTATATTCCTGACGATTTCCTTCATAGAACCTCATGTGATAACATAAGAGTTACAAAGTTGTACACAGTTTAGAAAAGTGAAATTAGGTATTTTCTTTGCGTCGGTAAATAAACACATTGCGATAAATAAACACATTGCGAAATAAGGAGAAATGGCATGACAGTCTCCCATTTTTATTTTATTAACCATTTCATTAAACGAATGGTAGTTTCGGGCATTTGAAAAAGCTCGTACATCATGTAAAATTAGTTCTTTTCTTTTAAGAAGCAATTAGCTCAATGTGATTTATTAATTGATTCCACAAAAATGTTCATGTTTCTAATCATACATTGTAGAAGGTATAGAGTCATATAAATTATATGAAAAGAAAATTCATTAATGAATATCTTGAAACTGTTAATTGGACCACCAGTATTAGTGGTAGAGAAGGAAACAAGCTTACAATTAACTGTGTATCACTAAAACTTTCTTCATAGCACTATAATCATTACATATTTATGTCCCCTCTCCATCGTTCTGCATACTGTAAAGTTCGATTGCGCCTATTCAAATTGAAACTAATAGGGCCGACGATTTGAGTATCAAAAACAGTACTTTTCCATTTTGACATTCTACTGAAACTGAAAATCATGTTATTTTCGACTGTTCCTTGTATGACGAATGACATTAGAATTAAATTAATAGATATGAATACATGTATGTCAATTGATCAAGATGAAACTTGTTGATGAAACTCACTGAATAAGAGAATTTGTGCCAAACCTTGTCAGATTTAACTTGGTTAATAATATAGTTGTCCTTTATTTGCGATTTCTACTAAGTGGCATATGCTTATCACTCCACCCACGATCAGATCGAGGTAATATCAATTCTAGCGCATTCATTTCTTCTTATTGTAATTTAACTATTGTTTGTTTTATTATCCGTGTTTTACCTTGTTTATTTTATTGTCATATCAATTTAAGGTTTGACATCTGTTGTTGTTTTTGTGGTTGTTTTCATTTTATTTTGGCTGTTAGAATTATGTTTATTGACATTCAGTAATATTTAATGTCACATAAAAATGCAAGATATAGCTCTTATATAAATAACTCGTAGATTGTTGAAACAGAGATAAAGATTTTAAATAATCTAAAAGTCTCAGATTAAAGATTGTTGACTTGTGTTATTACGCTTAAAAAAATTATATTCACTACTGTAGCTGTTAATTGCTGTGTTGCGGCTGAAAGTTTTGAATTGTTTCCCATACTTCATCCCAGTGCTGTCATATTTCATTGTACCTTTAGCATCATTGATTCTAAAACTTTGTTTGTTTCGATGATTATCAGTCAAGCGGAAAAGATTCCCATAATGTCTCATGATCAACTTAAATAGAACTGAGTTTGTGGTTTTCAAATATTTGTTTTGTTGTCACCCCTCCCCCCCCCACCCCCGAGAAATCATCCCATTTCGGATTTTTTTGATACCTAGAAATCATTATCAAGCCCACGTGGCGAGAGAAACATACCTGTGGCCTCAGAAGGATTTGAACAACAATCACTAGATAAGCAAACATACACTCACTATACCTCTAACAGCCCTTCGTGTTTCATAAATTATCAAATCATTGAAATGATATGAACCACTGCCTTTGTACAACATTTTTCAGTGATAGTCTTGTCCTCTTAGGACAATGTACTCATGACGTACAAGTGTATGACACTCCAAAATTTCTCATTTGTCTTCAGAAATAGTCAAAAATTATATTTTAAAAATTATACGTCCTGATGATGATTTTAATAGATTATTTCGGTAATTTCTTTTTATTAGTCACAATTATCAGATGGTGCGGTTAACTTATGAACAGAGAGAAATCATTAGATGTCACCTTGATGGAATCCGTTTAGCTCGGTGAAAAAATAGATCATTAATCTTGATAACGAATAAATCTAGGTGAAACGTGTTTTTAAAACAGCAACGTTTTAAGCCAAAAATTTCATCTTTATGAAATGTGCAGTTTGTATTTAAATAAGATAAATACTCACGAAAATGGTATGTCTATACATCATTTTAACTTTTTGTATGCAATTAACATTCCTGAAACTTTATTTAGATTTTGTTTAGGAAGAAATGGTATGGAATTACGAAATAACTGATGGACGAACACCGTCTTACTGAAATATATGCATGATAATCACGCGACATTGCTTCATATAATGTCATATTTTGTATTGCATTGTCATGTTCCACTTATAAGTCTATGGTTTTGGCTAAGCACGCATTATTATAAGTCTATGGTTTTGGCTAAGCACGCATTATATTCAGACGCTATACATGATATGAAATATGACAGGAAGCATTCGGCACGACATTTAACATGCGACAAGTGACAATGCGACAAGAAATAATAAGACAATGTGACACGAGCTATGGCAATACAACACGACACCTAAAATACCACACGAGTTAAAATGCGACATGAGATGTGACAAATTGACAATGAGACACGAATTATGACAACACAAATTATGTACACAATATATGACAATGCAACAAGAGATATGCTAGTAACAGTTTATGGCCGTGCCAAATACATGTAGCATTTTTCCTTTTGGTTATCATATGCTAGAGAGTTGCCTGGCAGTAACAGCCAGATTACATAGCAAGCAGTCAGCTGCAGAATGCAATGGCGCAAACGGCAGCCTCGGGAGGATAAAAGCATATAAAGTAGGTCGGTGTTCACACAGGCAATCGGTGCGTGGCTTGGATAGTATACATGTACATGACCACGCCCACTTATTTTTTATAAATATTTTTTTTCACTAATAAAATATTTTTTCATTCAAAATGTTTTTAAAATATCTTATTTTCAATAAATCAACAAAGGAAATTCGTTTTTAAAAATTTCGTCCATATATACTATAAATATAGTAAAGGTAGAAAGGTTCGCCAGCGGACCTACCACCAGGCCTTATGTTACCTCCCAGATCTTTGTTAATTGTCAACCAATTTTCACCAAATAAAGTGCAATCTACGCAGAAATGATTTCTCTTTCGAAAAATGTACAATATTAGACCAGTTGGTACGACAAAAGATGAAATTTTAAAGCGAAATGTAATGCACTTTTTGTCTAGGTCGGCCATCGCTTGACCGAGCCGGAAGTAGACGATTTTGAACATAAATCGATCTTTTTCTTAATAACAAACTGATGTCAGTGCATGCAAACAGTTGAAACAGAAAAGGCAGCTATAATACTATCGCTTACCGGTCCAAAGTTAATCCAAAACGTCTGTAGGTACGCACTTTCAGTAGTATTTGCACTTACGATTGGTTTTAAATTTCCCGACATTGTACATGTATACAAATCCTGATCCGGATATTTAAAGTACGCATGCTCGGTTCCCGCTAGTACCCTGCTTCGCTCAATCTTTATTATGCGAAATGGGGTACGCATCAGGTACATCCGGGTCAGGATTTGTATACATGTAATATCGGGAAATTTAAAACGTAAGTGCAAATAACTACTGAAAGTGCGTACCTACAGACGTTTTGGATTAACTTTGGACCAATAAGCGATAGTATTATAGCTGCCTTTTCTGTTTCAACTGTTTGCATGCACTGACATCAGTTTGTTATTAAGAAAAAGATCGATTAATGTTCAAAATCGTCTACTTTCGGCTCGGTCAAGCGACGGCCGACTTAGACAAAAAGTGCATTTTCGCTTTAAAATTCCATCTTTTGTCGTACCAACTGGTCTAATATTGTACATTTTTCGAAAGAGAAATCATTTCTGCGTAGATTGCACTTTATTTGGTGAAAATTGGTTGACAATTAACAAAGATCTGGGAGGTAACATAAGGCCTGGTGGTAGGTCCGCTGGCGAACCTTTCTACCTTTACTATATTTATAGTATATATGGACGAAATTTTTAAAAACGAATTTGCTTTGTTGATTTATCAAAATTAAGATATTTTAAAAACATTTTGAATGAAAAAATATTTTATTAGTGAAAAAAAAAAATATTTATAAAAGATAAGTGGGCGTGGTCATGTACATGTATACTATCAAAGCCACGCACCGATTGCCTGTGGGTGTTTATTGTAAAATAATTGTTTAATTAAACGGAATGAGTAAATAAATAATTTGTATAAGAGGTGACTTTATGTTAATCTATTCTAAAGTTTGTTATGAGTTTTTAATTATGCATTCTTTCAACATTTTTATTTTTAAATTATCATCAGCCTTATAATGGCTCATTGGTAAACTGTAGAGGACAAAATGTAGAGGGCTCATTCAAGCCCTCAGTTCTGCTTCAAAATGAGATTTTTTTAAATTATCTAGTCGTTAAAGGATATCACAGAAAAGCTATATAGGTTGTGTAAAAATCCAATCCGTGTTGTCATACAAACAGCTTATAAGCATGCATTCAATGAAAATGAACAGACAATGACAATAGTTAACGTAGAACACTCTAGTTTTATATAATATGGCGACATGTTGAGAGAGGTTTGATACTCTATATTTCAAGTGGCTATTATTATTAACAATCTGAATTAATATGTTAGCTCTTATACTGTCCTAAATATTAGCATATCTTTTTAAATTGTACCTTTTAAATTTGACATTACCTTGAGTCCAATTTCAACTAGTTTTAATTCAGCTTTAGATTGTCATGAAGATAACAAAATTAACTTGCATAAATAATTTCCATTTCTTAAGATTAAATATAAGAAACTATAAATCACTACAATAACTTTCTGTTTTGTCTAAAATATTATTCAGACCATTAAAATATCCGGTTGATGTACACTCTCTTAGCAGCTCAGTGAATACACTAGTTTCTTCACAAAAAAGTGAACGATACTGAAACATTCGACCGATGCTCAGGAGAGTACGGTTGATGATACATGTGGTTTTGTTTCATACAAATGAGGTTCTGTTTCATAAGTTAACTATTTTGCAAAGACATCTACATGTCGAGGGCTTGGTGCGAAAGGGTTATAACTCATGTTAAATAAAAACGAGTTACGACCCTCCCACACAAAGCTGTTGTTGATGTGTTTCATTATTTTATTACTTTACATGTAATATTTTAATGTTCAAAATTGATAATCTTAACCCTTTGAAACATTCGAGGAATTATATTTTATACTAAACAAGATAAATTTTCTTATTTTGTTTCAGCCGTGTTTCATCAAATTCATTAACAACTAGCGTGTGTGATTAATACCTTGAATTGTAGAAAAACGTGATGCTTATGGCTCATTTTAGAATAAGAGTTCAGATTGTATTAAGTTATTTCTTGTATGTTGATCTGATTGCCACCATATTTGTTTCGCCTTCATTGTGATTCTGGTTTCCCGGGAAAGATAATTTTGCCTACCACCCGTTGGTTAACTAGATAGCTTCCTTACAAGAAAGTGTTACTAAAACGTACATTATAGTTAATTTGATACCCCTTTTTGTAAAGGTACGCCTTTTGCATCAGAAAAAATACAATTTACCCGTAAATTTAACTTTATAAAAAGCGTAGGCATTTTAATTGTTTTATCATCAAATACATATAAGTTGGGATAATCATCCACAGTGTTTATTGGAGAGGTCATCAGACCTCACCACAGTGTTCAGACTGATTGCTGGCGGCATCCATTTTTGCGCATCTGATTGTAGTGAATGAATCTCATTTAAAGCGTAAAATCATTAGGAGCAGTCTACAAAAAAAATGTTATACACATGCTCCGCTTCAAAATACGACTTAGCTTAAACGAAAAATTAACATCGAAGTGAACAAATCGGTACATAGAAAAATCGGAAAATATCTTTTACGTTACTTAGCGCTACGTGGATGTTTCATTTCGTTTTTTAAACGTCTTTTAAAATGTATAAATTGATTACCGTATTGTTTTGTGAGTAGCGTTTTACTTTTTCATGTTCCAATAAATAGTAACAGTGAACATTATAGCTACAATATCACCATGCACTATTATATGACCGAGTGAACAGGGTACCGAAGTTTTGCTGTACCTTTAACTTTTGAACCGGTATGACTAAATAACGCAACCGAGATTTTTTGGCGCAAATGGCACAAAATTTACTCAAGTTTAATTTTCTTCAAATATTGTGGTTGGAGGCATGCAGTTCTATATACTGTTCATTCCAATCAAATGATGTAAACATGTTTTATGTAAATCAGGAACTTAACCGAAAATTTGCTTATTGAATTTTTCAAAAAAAATTATTTTGATACTATTTCTAATATACATAGCATTTATTTTAAATTTTGTTTGATGACATAACATATATTGTTCCCTTTGTAGAAAAAGTATCTCTAATGCGCCGAGAAAAAAGTCAATTTCTCTTCCTTATAATCTTTCAAAACATTAAA